AGTCCTTAAATTTCTTTAAAGACTTCTTTCACTGAGGATTGAAGGAAATTCATGGAATGGATGCCATCGAACTTGCCATTCCAAAGGTTCTTAGTATTTGAAAAGCAGTAAATAACTAACTCTGAAGATGATTAAGAAATGATTACATATAGTCTACATTATGACTGTGGGCATAGTTGGAATCCCTCTCTTCCCAGCCACTTCTCTCAACAATTGATCACGAAAATCCTGGTTCCTACACTCTGTTTGTGACGAGTAGCTATCTGGAATACATGTGCATGATCCCACAATTTTTTCTTTCTGCAGAGAGATTTTGCTTGCGAGAATCATAGTCTGTCTTCCAATTTGAGTCATAATACTGTCTCTGCTTCTTCAGAATATCTAGCTTGTCAGGTCGTCATTGGTAGTTCCCTGAAATTCTGATAATCTTTCCTTGTTTCTCAGGAAACTCAGATTTCTGGAAACTGGTAATATTTCAGAAGCAAGACAATGATCTGATAGGAAAGTACTGAGTGATTGAGTTGTGTGAATATCAGCTTATTAAAGTTATATCTAGAAAAGCAGTAGAGGTGCACTCTGTACACCAGCATATCTGCGCAAGTGTTAAATATAATTTTGCAGAATTGTTGCTATATGACAATAATAGGAACTGATGTAATTAAAATTATTTACTGTGACTCATTGATTCACAGCAAATAGGGTGAAAATATCTGAGAAGAGAAAAAAAATTGTCCTGGTTTTAAAATCATAAGCGTAGAGCTTAAAAAATTGAAGAAGAAAAAAACCCAAGAAATTCCTAACAAAATTGGATGAGCAAAATCATAGGGGGAATAGTGTTCAAACAAAGTGGGTCTTTCCTCTTTTCACTAAATCACTTTGCACAGATGGCATAAAGAACAATCCTAACTGAAAAAATAGTTCTAAAATGTGTGTAAAAGATGTTATGAAGAGGAACAAGTTCTACAGGATATTTCTGAAATCACATAATCATAGAAATCTAGCAATGAATCAGTCATATTCTCTTTAGCAGATTACCTTCTGCTTCAAGTAGAAGATGGTCATATAATTCAGCCTGTAGTGTAACATACACAGTTACCAACAAACTGTATAATTAAAGGTGCTATCACATCATACTGGTCTTAATTATTTACTTACATGTGGCTCATTGTTCATGAGAAAATAGCAAAAAGTAAAATATTTCGTACCTATGTAGATTTATAGTTACTCTGGATTTTTTATTTTAATCAAATACTAAATATTACATAATAATTAGGATGCAAAATTATCTCTGTGTACATAGGTATGTGTGTGCGCGCGCGCATTCACACAGAGATACTGTACAATATTTCTGATAAATATCTGATTGCATAAGATTTTTAAAAATAGTTTACCTACAGTAAATCAAGATTTTCTTTTCAATCTGATGGTTTTGAGGTTCAGATCAAGGACTCATGGAACCCAAACAGGAAGGAAGATTTTCATGGTGGGGTGCAAATCTATTCCTACTGAGGTTAAAAACAGTATTCCTATTAATTTCAAAGTAATTAGGGTCAAACCCTTCCTGTTGTGCCCATGAATGGCTTTGAATTCACAATTCTTGCAAGAAAAACAGATAATGCCAATTTCTCTGAAACTTTCTCCACCACTCTTACCAGAATCCCAACCTAGGAAGAAGCTATTGTGACAGAGACTAATATGGCTAGCCATCTGCCTGCCTGCTGGCCTACTGTGAGCTTTCTTTGGCATCCTGATGCAAATATGATCCATTCACCACCTTCTTCCTGAGCTTTCCTGATGCTAAAACCTCTTGACATTCATTGCCATGTCATCCAGCTCCTGCTGTGATTCTTCCTGGAAGGTGTCCTGCTAGACTAAAATGGTAATTGCTGCCCTGTTTACTATTAGTTGTGGATTAATTTGCTCCCTAAAAATCCCATTGGTATGTATGATTCTTATCCCACTGTTACCTTAATTACTATCAGCCTTTCTCCCAGTGACACCCATGAGAAGGATAGAAAGCAGAAAGCAGCTAAAAATGCAGGAGGAGGAGGAGGAGGAGGAGGAGGAGGAGGAGGAGGATTTATAAAGGTTTGCAGCACACAACTAGCCTTAATAAAAGTGTACTTTTGCAGGAAATTGAAAATAAGTACAAAATAAACTGTTGAACTGTAGAGGGCAGTACTTGATGGCAGAATAAGTGGTTTCAATTTGAATTAAGAATACAAATATATTAGAAATGCAGTATTTTATACAGCTGCATATAGCTTAAGAAAGTTGTCCAGGGAGATAACTATAATACTTTCTCTGTTTTGAATACTGAGCTGGTGTATTTAAGGCATCCAGTTTTTGTTTACATTTTGGGCATTTGCAATGGCAATATGGAAATGGACAATTCCTCTATCCTTTTTTAGTAATTTCTCTTAGTCTCTATTTTTTTTCAAATTCCAAGTCTAATTACTGTTTGGAAATATGGTTCTATATGTTGGTCTCTGATATTAAAGTTTCCTAGAGATAAAAGGGAAAAACATATTAAATTAAATGAAAACTGTTTGTCCTTTCTAACTTTTATGATTCTACTTTCAGATGGGGCAGAATAGACATATAATCAAACAGATTTCATATTGACTCTTAATTTTACAACTTTCTAGTTTTTGCTTTTCCAACAAGATGGGCACTTTCAAAATTACATAGAGTAGCCAAAGATTACAGCAAATCTAAGAAGAATTAAATGAAGCAATAACGTCATTTGGAAAAGGCAAGTTGATTAATTGATTTTCTTTATAGCTGCATCAAAAACGTGTTAGCATTGTTTCTGGACTCGTAGTAGGGCTGATAATGAAAAAGATTTTAACATGACAAATGGTTTAAAAAAGTAATTTGGTTCTGCATAACTGGATTGGCTTCTGTTTTTGCTTTTCCATGATGAATGTAGTTTTTACTGTGGTGGTGAATTAGATTTAAACTGGATGCTTTCTTTAAAAAATGCAAAAGCAAAATCAAAGCAACGAAAGTCTGAAAGAGCTGGGTAAAGATTTTTTGGTAATGCTTAGAGGCAAGATTTTCTACATAATTCATTTAATTTTCTGCACCATTTTCAATATATATTTTTAGTAGCTTATTGATATTAGTGATAATGATGATGATGATAATGATTTCCAGTCTATTCAACATGATTATGGTACCAGAGGGTCAATAAAGCATTTCTGTTCTTGAGTTCATCATCATCATCATCATTAGGCCCTGTGAAGAGCATATTGGGCAGCAAGTATTTTCTTTAGTGCATCTAAGACTTTAATTAGATTTTCATCACACGCTATGGGTAGGTTTTACATAATTCATCTTATTTCTGTTTTTGTTCTGACATATCTGGCTTTCATTTTCCTAAAACAAATTCAGAAACACATTCTTATATACACCTTTTTACTTCTTTTGACAAAGAGTTCTTCCACATACTGGCACATGCTATCATGTATTACCTGTTTTTTAACTTTTGTATCTATGTATTTTATTTTGTGCCTGTTCACCGCCCTGAGTCCTTCGGGAGTAGGGTGGTATATAAATCTAATAAAACAAACAAAACAAAACAAACCTGTGTTTCCAGTCTTTGTGCAACTTAACATTTTGATTTCCATTTTCCTATTTTTAGTATCAAATTCATTTCCATACTCTATTTTCCCCCTATTTATGCATAACTTGCAATCATTTGCTGTATTTTCCCTATCAAAACCAAGGGTTCAGTCTTTGAAGCTTTGATGTTCAGATTTATACTCTTTCTTGCATCATAGAACCTATCTAACATTCATTAGTTAGTAAGTTAGTAATCTTTCAGAATCTGTTATCATTGTTGTATCCTCCTTCACTAATTGTCATAATAAATAATAACACCAGAAATACTTTTTGACACATTCCTCTTTCTCAGTTTATAACATGATACTGATAGTCCTCCACTTAAAACAACAATTGAGCCCATATTTTCAGTTGCTAAGCTAGACAGCTGTTAAGAGACTTTTGCCCCATTTTATGACCTTCCTTGCCACAGTTGTTAAATGAACCACTGCAGTTGTTACCAATTAGTAACACGGTTGTTAAGTCAATCTGACTTCCCCATTGACTTTGCTTGTCAGAAGGTCGCAAAAGGTGATCACATGACCCAGGGACACTGCAACCGTCATAAATACCTGCCAGTTGCCAAGCGTCCAGATTTTGATCACGTGACCATAGAGATGCTGCAAGGGTGGTAAGTGTGAAAAGTCACTTTTTATAGTGCTGTTGTAACTTTGAATGGTCATTAAACAAAAGGTTGTTAGTCGAAGATTACGTATATATGTTCTGGTTACGTAGGGAATATAGGACAAGAAAAATTAATTTTGCGCATACCAGACTGCATTTTTTTCACAATCTGTTTTATGGGGGTAAGTGAGAGGACAGGGCCTATCCAGCAAATCTACTACTTCAGATCATTAAAACAGAAAAACCAGCATCATAGGTTGGCTAAATTGAAGCTCTCTAGGTTCTCTCTTCTGCAGCTGCCATTAGTGCTTGTGCATTCCAAAGATGTAGTCCCACTCACTCCACCAGGCTCTAGCCCCAGATGCATAAACTGCCAATGGAGGCCTTTTCTCTCTCCCCCACCCCCATCCCTTGTTCTAGTTGTGGGTGAGTTTATCTCATCATACCCAATGTAAAGTTAAAGAAGCCTGCAAGCTGAGCTGTACTGGTAGGAGAGGAAATTGCACCCATGCAGTTTCTTGCAAGTGTTGAAAAAGTCGTTTGCTATTGCTTTCTTCCGAGAGGATGACGACGACGCCCCCCCGCCCAGATTTTTCCAACCGTCTCCCCTCCAGCTTTTAACCCAGACCAACTTTGTTTAGCTTCGGAGGTGGGCAAGGTTCATTTTAGGTGCTGCCAATCCCTCTTCTCCTCCGGATCCCGTGGCTGAGGCCGTTGCTAAGGGACCGCGCGCGTCCCTCCTCCCCTGCCTGAAGGCCGGGTCCCAGGTGCCGCGGTTGCCTGCGCGAAGTGCGTAGAGCGGCACGAGACCCGCAGAAACCGCTCCGGCTGCGTCTCCGTCGCGCGGTGGCTGAGCGGCCGCCTCTACCGGGGAGGTGAGCGCCTTTGCCTTGAGAGACGAAGCAGTTGTGTGTGTGTGTGTGTGTGTGTGTGTGTGTGTGTCTGTCTGTCTGTCTGTCTGTCTGTCTGTCTGTCTGTCTCCCCCTCCATCCCCGTGTGTGTGTGTGTGTGTGTGTGTGTCTGTCTGTCTCCCCCTCCATCGTGGTCGCATCCTCACCCCATCACGAATCCCTCTGTTCTCTCCATTAAAAAACAACAACAACCAACTGGATATTTTTCTGCCTGAAAAAGCCAAATACGCAGCTTTTGGGGGGAGGGATATTATAATGTGATTTAGAACTGCCTTGTTTAAATAACCCTTGAACAGTTTGGAACTGTTTGAAGGATAGCTGGAGTAAAATGAAGTTGCTCCCTGTTAATTGGGCAGCAGACTTTAAAAGGTAGAAATGTTCTTTTTTGATACAAGTATTTGTAAAAGCTGCAGTGAGCTCCTAGGAACTTTCCGGAGGAACAAAATATATTCTTAGGGAGGGATATTATGTTTATTTGTAATATTGTTATTTCCTGTTATTCAAATTGAAAAGCAGATGCTGCTAAAGCTGCAGATCTAGAGGAGCGTACCTAGGATGAGATCTGCTGAGCTGTGTGGACCATCTGCTGAGCAGAAAAGTGTAGGATTGAACTGCAGATCTGCTTTCACTAACTAACCTAGTGACATCTATTTGGTCCAATGAGATTGGTAGCAAATTTTCTCTGAATGGAAGGGGAAGCCTGCAAATGATCATATATATATATGTCCCTAGAGTCCCTAGGGAGTTGGGCGGCATAGAAATGCGACTAATAAATATATACAGGTAGTCCTCAACTTACAACAGCTCATTTAGTGACAATGTAAAGTGACAATGGCTCCGAAAAAGGTGATTTATGGTCATTTTTCACACTTACAACCATTGTAGCATCCCCAGTTATTAAGTTACTAACTTAATACTTACTGCAGTGATTCACTTAACAATGGTGGCAAGAAAGATCGTAAAATGGGGCAAAATTTATTTAACAACTGTGTCCCTTAGCAACAGAAATTTTCGGCTCAGTTGTGGTCGTAAATAGAGGACTACCTGTATATAGATTTGGATTAAATATTTTATGCACCTATTAGTCAATTATATAGTTTACTTGACATATGTATGCCAGATATAACATTTGGGAAGGAAAAAATTGAATGACATAATGTCATATATATGTCATCATTACATTTCTGATTATTTGGTTTGCATCTTAGTATGGTATCCAAGATGTCTACAGTCATTTGTAGAGAGGCTAATAAATTCACACAAATATCTTAATTTATTAAGTTAAAGTAGAACCTTTCCACATTGTTTAGATATTCCTGTTCAATTTTCTATTAGCAAAATTTTATGTTTATTTCCACAGACTTTAAGAATGGCTAGAAAACATGAACATTTTGGATTAAGCTATTTGGAAGAATTGAATATAGTTAAGGAGCGTGAAAATATATGCAAAGAAACTAGGCAGGAATTTTTGAAATTTAAACAAGAATATGTTTCTGACCATGGAAATGTAAACAAAGCTTTACAGGAACTTACACCATCAGGTCAGTCACTTCAGATACAGTCTAAAACTAGAAGTCCCTTTCTAAGTTCTGAAATCAAACAACTTTCTTCTGAGTGGGATACTTCTGCAATCCAGAAAAAAGTAAGGGTTTCTTGTGATGAAGAAGAAATAATAATCAAGATTGAAGATGCTGCAAGTCAGCCAAAGAAATCTTCTAAGAAGCAGAACCATACTGACGGTAAAAAAAAGGCCTTTCATTCTGGAAAAGCCACCCTAGAACATAAAAGTGAGAGCCCAGGAGATGAAGGCGAAAAAATGCCAGTATTAATAGCCTCTTTTGTAGGAACCACCAAGCAGATGACCATATTGAAAAAACCAGAACCACTGAAACCAAAATCTCCAAAGGTGCCTTGTGCAAAATTACGGTTTAAAGATCAGTCAAAAGATAGCATTGCTAATGTTAAACAACTTGAACAAAAAATATTATCACAGCATATAATTCTTCCCTCAGCAGGGACCAGCACTGCAGACTTTGATGATTCCTGTTCTGTAATTTCCAGTGTAAGTGAAAAATCTATGAGCATTCCTAAAGAAACCTCAGAATCAACTGAACCCAGTCGCTTAGAAAGATCTTACAGTACAAAAAGCAGTGCTTCATCTAGTATTAAATTTGCTCCAACATATCTGGAAGAAACCATATCTGAAATTAGAGTAGGTTTTTCAAAATCACGTTTGAAATCTTCATACAGCAAGTCACACCTATCTCATTCCATTTCAAAGATGCCTTCTGGAATTGTTTCACGATCTATTGATGAAATAATCGAATCTCTAAAGTCTACTGTTCCCACTGCATCAGACTTAAAGATCAAAGAACTCTTGGAGAGTATTCTTGGTCAGGATTATCTCCTAAAAATTCAAGTAGGTAAACTAGAATGAGTTAAAGAAGCTTGGATTTGTAAGATTCTCTTTTACTAAAATTGCCTTTAAAAATACTGTCTGTTGTCCCAAAGGTGCTTTTTTCCAAAAGTCAACTGGATTTCCTTGATTTTTTTTGAAATTTTCAAAGAAAAAACCAAGAAAAAAGGTCCTCCTTTTTTTTTTTTTTTTTGCAAAAAGCACTTTTGAGACTTCAAAAATAATATATTATAACATTTTGAAAAATATAATATATTTAATAACATTTGCTATTACTTCCTTTCTGGTAGTTGTTGGTTAAAAGTAACATTGACCACATTTAAATGGATTTTCCTTTGTAAGGATTCTTAAATTAAAGAGATATATGTATAGGTTGGTGATCTATGTATTTAAAGTATTATTTTTTTAAAGTCAAGATATACTAAAATAAATACAAACAAAAGATAATGAATGCTAAGTTAAAACCAAATCAAATTATAGTTCTGTGTGATGTATGAACACAACCAATGTAAATAAGTAACTTCATTGAATTTTCTCTGTGATCAATCAAATCAGCAGTTTTAAAAATTACAATTTTTTGGTTGCGTTTTATAATCTAACAAATATATTATGGTTTAAGCTTTGAGATGTGTTTTCATTTCCTTAGATTCATGGAGATCTTTCTTATTTATCTGGGTGTCTATTCCCACTTAGCTGTATAGGAGAATTGTAGACGGTGAGGTCAGAAAAGAATGAACAGCAGAAAATAAAGATGGTGACTATTGACAATGGCCAATCCATTTTTAATAGAGATGTTCTTGCATTGTTGAGCTGATTATCACATAGTGTGATAAAAATTAGACAACCCATGGCCCTTTGGGTCATAGTTTCAGAGATTTCCTTATCTAAAAAGAGAAACTGAATGACTACTGGTGGGCAAAAAATTAGTGGGTATGGGAGCAACTTCAATCTTTCTGTCAGCTTCTGCATTGGATTTCCTTGTAGCAATGAGCATCAGAAATTTAGTGACTTCAAAGTTACAAAGTTACGACGACACTGAAAATAGTGACTTATGACTCTTTTTCACACTTACGACTGTTGCAGCATCCCCATAGTCACGTGATCGAAAGTCAGATGCTTGGCAACTGACTCATAAGTATGACGATTACAGTGTCCAAGGGTCATGTGATCACCTTTTGTGACCTTACAGGCAAAGTCAATGGAGAAGACAGATTCATTTAACAATCATGTCACTAACAACTGCAGTGATTCATTTAACAACTGTGGCACGGAAAGTTGTAAAATGGGGCAAAATTCACTTAACAAATGTTTCACTTAGCCACAAAACTTTGGTGCTCAATTGTGGTCAAAGGTCGAGGACTACCTGTTATTATTGTATTGGAAGAAGGAACTATACAAATACAGAGATACTGCTGCAAATACTCTGACTTTGTTACTTCTAAGACTGATATCTGAAATTGGTTTTATATTTTGGGTGGATTGATACTGGTACAGCTGTTCTAAATAATTTGATCCTAAATTGTTTAAAATTCCAAGATTGATGCCATTTTTTTTAACTAGTTAGCTTTTCTAGCCAACTAGTCACTATTTCTAGCCAATATAGATGATGCAGGACTGAGAAGAGATGAGATAACTTGCTTTTACTAACATGCTTGTTGCCACATTTTGTGGCAATTCAGTGTTTGGAATTGTAATTCAACAATCTTACAGTACCTTGCAAGTAAACTGTAATATGACAGTGTCTGCTTTTTTCAGAAAGAGCTGTTTGATTGTAACACTTCAGGCTGCTTCCTTAGAGATGTGAGCTCCTGGCATATGTGTGAACTTGATCTTGTGAAATTAATTGTTAAGGTTTATTGTTGTTGTTGCTGGTACTAATAGGAAATTGATTTATATTCAGTAAATGCACAGAGTCATATATTGTCTTTCATTAAATAGTGCTGAATATATTTGAGTGTATAAATATGGACAGGCTTTCCAGAGCCCACTTTGATACCCTGCCATCAGCTCTACTGGCTACCTCATGGGAGTCCCTATGTGCAGAGATTTTGGTCTTGTGGATCCAGGAAGGTAGAAACTCACTCATGTCCTCATATGGTATCCTTTTTATGATGTCCCAAGATGTGCTCTGAGTGTTCCAATCCAGGGGTGAAATGCTCCCGGTTCGGACCGGATCACCTGATCCGGTAGCGATGGAGGCGGGTGGTTCGGAGAACCGGTAGCAAAAATCCCTGCCCCCCCCATACCCAACTGAGCAGCACAATCAGCAGAGGCTTTGTTTTTACTTTTAAAAGCATTTTTCCTACAACTCTTTGGCCGAAAAAATGCTTTTAAAAGTAAAAAAAATAAGCCTCTGATGATCACGCGGCTCAGCTGGGATCCTCAAAGGCTTTTAAAAGCATTTTTTCTACAACCTCTTCAGATTGGATCGTCAGAGGCATTTAAAAGAAAAAAAGCCTTTTTTTCTTTTAAATGCCTCTGACGATCCAAGCTGAGTTGCCTGATCGGAAGAGGCTTTTTTTTTTTTAAAAAGCCTCTGACGATCCAAGCTGAGTTGCCTGATCGTCAGAGACATTTAAAAGAAAAAAAGCCTCTGCCGATCAGGCAACTCAGCTGGAATCGTCAGAGCCTTTTGAAAGCATTTTTTTACAACCTCTTTGCTGAAGAGGTTTTAAAAGTTAAAAAAAAAAAACTGGCCACGCCCACCCAGTCACATTACCCCCCCACCAAGCCACGCCCACAGAACCTGTAGTAACAAATTTTAGATTTCACCACTGCTCCAATCATTTCCCAAAGTGAACTCCACTCCAATACATTTTATATTTTTTAAGGGACGCTAATCCCACACTCACATATCAGGTAGCCAAATGTCTTCAAGTTATACAACTCTGCAAAACTTTTAATTAGATATGTTGTTTTCCCTTTTTCAATAATGATTTTGGTCAAACTCTTTTTTTTTCTATAAAATGTAATCAAAGACTGCAATAAAGATATTTGTATTTATTTATATTTGATGTGCCAGTAGCATGTCCTCATAGTGGAGGGAATATGGACAAGTATGTTGGCTTGCAAATCTCTACTTTAGAGAGCCTTGTATAACATGCTTGGGATATAACTGGGTTTTGGTAGCTCTTGTAATATGGGCAAAATGTGGCAAAACTGATCAATATGATTCTTACCATAATTCAACTTATTGACTTCTAATCTTTGCAGCAGTTATAAATAAAGTTATTATTCTCCTCCCTCATTCAAATTACACTACATATTACCCTTGTGTCCCATATTCAACTCCTTTTCCAATCAACAAATCCACAGATCACAATTTCATTTATTTCAGTTTTTAGCAAAAAAATCCGTAAAGGATTTCCAATCTCTTATAAAAGTACTGATTGTTTTCTTCCTCATCAAACAGGTTTGTCCATTTCTTCTGATTTTGTTATCTTTTAACTCATTCCTCCATTGTTGATATTTCAATATTTCTCCATCATTGTGCATATAATAATCATGCTGCAGTTATCATATATAAAATGATTATCCATAAGTCTCAATAAGTTCTACCACCACAATATCTATATTTAAAATTCTTTGTATCAACATATGTATTTGTATCCATCTGTTTTTTTTTCTTTTTCACAAATCCATCATGCATGGTAAAATGTTCTTTCATGTTATGTACATTTCCAACATTGACTAGAAATATCTTTATGTATCTTAAATAATTTCTCTGAAGTCACATATCAATGATATACAGATAGTCCTTGGGTGATGACCATAATTGAGTCCTGCAATTACAGTCATACTGTAAGTCATGACAGTTGTAAAACTGGTCACTATATCATCCCATTGTACCAATCTTAAGTTGTCTATTTTTCTGTACAGTATTAATAAATCTTGATATGTTCACTCTTTCTCTTTCCTCATTGTTTCTTTTCTGTAAAATGCTTTTTGTGCTGAAACCAAATTAGTAAAGACATTTTGGGGATTCTATTGATTCCATATTCTTAATATGGAATTTTGCATATAATGATTTATATTAACTTTAAAAATCTATATTAACTTTAACTTTATTGTACCATAAAAGCCATGCCTACCAAAATTCAGGTTTGTTTTTCTAACTCTAATGTTCCATTGTTTCTCAACACCATCCACTCTTTCATTCAAACAGGCTACAAAATGCAGTTTGAAATCTAGCAATCCTAATCTTCCTCTTTTCTTTGCACCTTGCTGAATTTTATACTTAGCCATTGGTTTCTCTCCAGCTATATAAATCTAAATGTATCTTTTTTGCCATTGTTTAAAAATGCATCATTTTTCAAAATAGATATTATTTAAAAATCCATTCTTGACAGTATATTTATTTTCACTACGGAAATACAAACTATGATAATTGTAACTTTTCTCATCTTAGAAAGTGTTTAATTTCATTTCATACCTTGACATAATTATTTTAAAATGATATACATTTTATATTTGTTGTTATAAGTATCCAAGTATTTTACTTTTTTATTCTGAAAACCAGTTTTTCTCAGTCATTCTTGAGTTTCCAAATAATTCAATCACTTTTTCTAAACTCATTTCTCTAATTCCCACCAATCTATTCATGACTTCTAATAACATCTTCTACTGGATCACATTCATTGTTGGGCAAGCAAGACTGGTTCTAAGTAGGAAAGCTCATGAAAAACCAAAGAATGTTGGCTAAGTAATATTTAAAGAAAAGTTAGGTAGTCATAAGAAAAGGAATAAAATCGAAACATACATTACAAACAGCACAAATAATAGTTAATGGAAAATTGGCAAAACCCTGTGGAATACAAAAAAAGGGATATGTCAAGGATGCCCAGTTTTGCCACTACTGTAAATTTTGGTTATTGAAGTTTTGAATAGAAACATAACACAAGATGAAAGAAGAGCTATGGTGAAACTTAAATCAGTATATTAATTAAGGACATTTGTGGATAATATATTTTAATTCTGGAAAATCCAATAGAAAAAAAAAATAGATATATTAATGGAAAAGTTGAAGGAATTTGGTACATTGCTTGATTTAAAATTAAACAAGGAGAAAACAGATGTTAACAAAAAATATGAGGATAGAAATAACAATTGCTTGGTACTTACTAAGAGCTTATTTTTCAAATTCATGATTTATGTCTACTTAAGTGCCCATATTGCTTTGATGGTGATGAAAGACCGAGAAAATTAGTATTTAGGAAGAAAAACTTGTGTGAATGACTTCGTTTCTAAGGCCCCTATTGCTTATGTTGGCCAGGTTGTCTCATACTGGCTATTTTGCTTGGACATCTTTTTCTTTTATTTCTCATTTGTTTCGGGTAATATATGTATGGAGATATGTTTTCCTTCTATGAAAATAGGAGAATAATAAGCCTGCAAATACTAGGTCTCATTTAATTGTCTACTGTGATTGGTGCAGTGATGGCAACAGAATGCTGTTACAGGATTGTGAATCACTGCAGAATCCGTCTCGTGGCAGAGAAAGAGATCTACAGTATTACTCCATGGTAGCCCTCTTTGAGAGTGTAGGAGTTTTTCATTTCATATTCTGCTAAGTACATGTCCAAACTTTACTGAATTATATCCTAGCATTTTTAATGCTATATACTTTCTAAGAGTTATGGACAGATTGTATAGCCAATTCTTGAATAGATATCTTTAATGGTGTGAATAAAATTTCAACAGATTTTTGTTTTTCTCTAAGATCATTAGCTATAAAGAAAATAATCTGAGTTATTTATTTAGTTAGTATTTGCTTACATATACATTGGCAATTAAAGAAATCCTGCAGTTTAATGAATGTTTTCTATATATTTTCTATAAATATTTCATAATATTTATATTAGCAACTGCCTCAAATGCAGTTTAAATATATTATATGGATTTGTGCTTTCTAATATTTGTATTATTTTCTTTTCAAATAAAGCAGTCAACTATCAAAAAAGAAATGCAGCCAAGTGAACTGGAATTACCAGCTATACGAATGGCACCAGTGGAAAGTGACAGTATGAAATTGGTAAGGTTCAACATGATATTGTAGAAAGATTATAAGTTTTCCTCTGACAGTGAAATAAGGACTGCCCTAATAGAACCTGCATTAGTACATTTATCATTTTCTATCAGTGTAGAACAGTGATGGCTAACTTTTTTCAATTGGAGTGCCTATAGCATGTGCGTGCAAGCGCGCACGTGCACCCAACTCCCCAAAATGCAATATGCGCAACCCCACGCATGTGCCCCATGCATGTGTGCGCAACCCCCTGCATGCCCTCCACCCCCAAGAATGCACATGCGAGCCCCCGCATGAGCCCCCCCACATGCGCACGCAAGTTCCTCTGCACGCACCCTGCCCCCTACAAATGCACGGCAGAGACCCAAAGACCAGCTGGCGGGTGGGAGGCACGTGTGCATGCGCGGCAGAGCTGAACTGGGGTGACGGCTCGCGTGCCATCACAGAGGGTGCTGTGTGCCACCTCTGGCTCATTTCACTGTACTACAAGAGCCTGTAGTACAGTGGACTAAAGCACTGTTATTAACATCTGCTGCTTGCAATTACTGCAAGTTCAAATCTCACCAGGCTCAAAGTTGACTCAGCCTTCCATCCTTTCAAAGGTAGGTGAAATGACGACCCAGATTGTGGGGCAATAAGATGACTTTGTATAAATATACAAAAGTATGAAGGCTATTGCTTAACGCATTGTAAGCTGCCTTGAGTCTCCGGAGAAGGGTGGCATATAAATTGAAGCCAAAAAATAAATAAATAAATAAAAAATTCAACATGGAATGGTAAGATCAATTCCTTCTGCCCAATTTGCAGTTCATTGACTTTTCTGGAAGTTTCAGAGACTTTTGAAGTATAAGTGCCATAGTATAGAACTGCAATTCTATAAAGTGAGTGATTATATTCATTTCTGACCAGGGTTGGTACTTCTAAATGCATGTAACTAAAATAAAATATTACATTCTTACATTTATTATGTGTGCTTCTCAAGGGACTTGAGATCCTCCTCTGTGATGGAGGATGCCACAATGGCTTGACTGACATTTCTCAGTGAGCAGGCAGAAGGTGGGAAGGTCAGGAGTGAGAGCTGCCTATGAATAGGGATCAGATCATGGGACTTTCCAGTATCTTGAAATTTGCAAGCGGCCTGGGACCAAATAATTCAAGACTTTGTATTGTGGAGTCTCAAATAATTAGATGTGGTTGGAGAGGGATATCCTGTGATGCTAGTGTCTTGTATGTGATTGCTGGTGCTTTAGCTAGTGGACAGAACTTTTGTATTTGAATTTGGGCAGCTATAAATAAGAGTCAGGGGGATTCAGTATACTGTCACTGAAGATACAGATTCACAGTTATGGTTTCTGGTGGGAGGTGGGGCAGGGGGCCTTTGCACAACTTCAGGTGGTGTATCACTTAGCTGCAGTGACTCGCACCTTTGTCACAACCCATTTAGACTACAGCAATGCATGCTACATGGAGTGGTTTTTAAAGACCACTCCAAAATTTAAATGATTCAAAATATTTGGCACTTGCCAATGGGAATGTACATCATCTATGCTACAAGTCTTTAATTGGCTTCCTATAAACTTTCAAGGAGATTTAAAATGCTGGTATTAATTGATAAAAACTTTAATGTTGGCATCAAGTTCTTTTCTGGATTGCATTTGCTTATTGTAATTCACCTGATCTATTTGATCTTGTTAGGAGAAACTGCTCATGGTTTTCCTCACTTCTGAGAGCTCAGAGGTGCTATTTTTCTGCAGCAGGAATGGACTCGGATGCTTTCTGGAAGAAACTGAAAACAGAGTTCTTTCATATGTTTTATTATTTTAATCTGACTGTAAATGTTGTAGAGGTTTTTCTGTTCCTGAAAACTGCTGAGAACCTTGCAGCATTGTGGCAGGGTGTACATGAAATAAATAATACATAAATCCCTGTTATAGGATTAAAACGTATCATTGAAATGTAAGATACTTATACTAATATTAATTTATTTTTATTTTTTTAATTTGAAGAAGCCATCTCAAATTAGAAAGGATCGATTTGTATCTCAATCTGCATATCAAGGTATACAACTGATACCAGAAGATTCAGAGCAAGTAGGTATATTTGAGCTCCTTTCAAAGAAAACTTATTTCTTAAATTCTGATTCTGTACTCTACTCTGAAGGTAGGTCATTCAGTCTCCAAAGGCATCAATGTATCTTCTGATGTCTTCCATGGTATCCTACCTGACTGGAATATTTTTTATATAAAAATTATATATGAATAGGAAATTGGTCCATTTTCTTTCTTTTTTTATCAAGTTTTTTATTTTATATTGCTTATACATATTAATGCATGAACAGTGTGATACATGGGTATCATACATTTTAGTACACATAAACATAATATTATTACTCATAGTTATTACATTTCATTTTCATTTCATATTGTTTAAACATATCTAATACTACCGCCACTCAATTTCTAAACCTCCTTATTATTATTATATATATCTTGTTTTGCTAAAATATATATATTGTTGTTTCCCTCTTATTTCTATTTCTATTCTAACTTTTATTCATATCACCGTTGTATTCAAAGATGTTTCTTTTCTGTCTTCTATCTTTCACCTGCTTTATTATTCATATTTCCCTTATTTAACTCTTCACATCTATATATATTAAAGTTTCATCTTTCATTCTTTCATTGTTCAGTGTTTCAATATACAATTCTAATATAAATCACTTAAATTTTTATTCTTATCACTTAATATTTATTAAGTGATTTATATTTATTTATTTAAGTGATTTATTAATATCACTTAAATATTTATTAAGTGATAAAATGATTTTATCATTTAAATATTTAAAATCATTTAAATATTTAGGGTAGATCTATTCATATTCCTTCCATTCATCCAATCCATGTGATTCTACTTTTAATACACATGCTTATATTAAAATATATTCTTTCATTATCTAATTACCATAGTTTTTGGAGTATAAGACGCACTGGAGTATAAGACGCACCATAGTTTTTGGGGAGGAAAATAGGGAAAAAAAATCTGCCTACCAGATATTCATCTGGCTAGCATCCTTAGCCTGGACAGCTTCAGCACATTAGTTCAAAGTGTGTGGTCCCCTGCATATGCCCCACCCCCTGCACATGCACGCACGGCCCCCTGCACGCACCCTCCCCCCATGCATGCACAGCAGAGACCAGAAGACCAGCTAGTCGGTGGGAGGCGCATGTGTGTGCAAAGTGCAGCTGAACTGGGGCAATGGCTTGCATGCCATCAGATCGCTGCGTGCCACTTCTGGCATAGTTCATGGTGTATTGCAGATAAAGATTTTTTTTTTCTAAAAGAAGTATATACGGCTGTTTATAAGGGCATTTTATTGTTTACTTTTTATATGAAGGCGAGAATGGGATTCAGCATGTTGATATTTGTGTAGTATGCAGCATTGTTACTGTCCTTTATTATTTCTCCCAGGATAAACTACTATGAACCCCAAAAAGGGCAAGTATTTTCCTTAGAAAATATGAAAGACAAACCTCAGAAACTGCAGAAGAGAAAATCTTGCTATAGGACAGGTGGAATATTGGAAAATTGTCAACTCCTTTGCTTTTTTCAGTAGAGCAATATTATACCTCTCAGAATAGTTTGTTGAAACAAATAGCAGAAAACCATACCTTTTCAGGCTGGAAGAAACTTCCAATTATTTTATCATATCAAATCTGTATTATGTCTTTTGGGCCAGAAAGTTCCAATGACTAAGCCGCCTTCTAGTGAAGAATAAGATATTGATTGCTCCTGAACATAGCGTGAAAGTAATTCTTAAGCTGTTAGCTATCTAAAATATAATTCAGGGTAATCTTACTCCAATCCACTTTTCTCCAAAAATGTTTGGACTTCAAAGATTCCCAGTTAATATTTCTGGAGAATGTCAGATTGGAAAGCTGCTTTCAGCCTGGACCTTCTCTAAAATGAGCAGCAGCATGAGGAACCACCCAGCATTAAAGGAACTACCCTAGATAGGAAGGATCTTCAAAACCTTACACATTCATTTCTTCAACTTTCTGGAGAATGAAGACAAACTATTAATCCAGTGTGTGCCATGGGTGCCGCTCACATCTTTCTCATTCAATGGTTACTGAGGCACATCAGAGATGGAAACTTCAACTTTCCCTCTGGGAAAACTTCTGCACCTCTCTGTATTTCTCTGCCCTCAGCAGTTATGTCCCCCTGCATTCATTTGTTGCCCAGCGGATAGAGTCCAATGGGTAAAAGAGCTCTGGTAGCGCAGCAGACTAAAGCACTGTTATTAACATCAGCTGCCTGCAATTACTGCAAGTTCAAATCTCACCAGGCTCAAGGTTGACTCAGCCTTCCATCCTTTCTAAGGTAGGTAAAATGAGGACCCAGTTTGTGGGGGCAATAAGCTGACTTTGTATATATATACAAAAGTATGAAGGCTATTGCTTAACGCATTGTAAGCCACCCTGAGTCTCCGGAGAAGGGCGACATATAAATCAAATTTTAAAAAAATTGGCCCCTAAGGTTGTATTCTACTAACTAAGATCTTTTGGAGAAGGAGTATATTCTCTTTACAGAGAGCAGGGGTTCTTAATCTTTTTGTACCCCCCCTTTAGGGCTTCTAGACTAAATTACTTGTCTACATTCATTACTGAGTGGCAAGGTAAATTTCAGTTAGAGATAAATGAAAGTAGAAATTATATTTTTGTCCAAGTTCAACAGGCCAACTGAATGAAAATAGAATTCTATTTTTTCTCCCCATCCAAGTTCACAGATCAGCTGAAATCTAGCCACAAATCCCCAAACGGTCTGTGGACCCAATTTGAGAATCCCTATAATAAATAATGTCCCTAAAATAAAGGAAATCCCACAGCTCTATCCACAATTCCATAGCCTATTTTGGCAGCTATTGCTGATTAAGTGCAATAAGCAGTCAATGAGATGATAGAACTACTCAGCAAATGCTAATTGGCAATTCCTCTATTTCAGAGCCCCACATTTTTATTTTAGGATGGCTGAGGACCATGGGAAAGTTAACAGTAGCATAATGACATGGTACAATAAGCATTTTTGAATTACTTTTATTTTTCAGTAAAATAGGTACATTAAATACATTGAAGGAAAAGGCCACATTACACTGCTGTTATTCAGTGGACTGTTTGCTAGCACAGTCACAGAAGATTTCTGGGATTGCAAAAAGGATGCTGAGAAGCTATTCATAAATTATAAACCATCCGTGCTTTACTCAGACTAATTGGATCTAGTGGCCAAAACAGCAACTGCTTCTTTGAGAAGAGGATGTTCCCATTTTCAGTATTCCTAGAATAGAAGGGTGAATGGATGTCGTGTGTGTGTGTGGGGTAGGTGCTCCTTGATTTCTGCCAGAGGCTGCCAGAGGCTCCCTGTTGTTTCTCTATCCCTACTTTTGCCAAACATTGTGATAGTCAGATGTTAAAGCTTGTTCCTAGTAGCTAAGATATATGACTGGTCAAATGACCAACATAGGAATGCTCTTTCTCAGTCCACATACTAGAAAGATCTAACACCCATGAATGGAGTATTTGGAAGTTACCTCATTCCTGGGCAAGTCTCAAATATCCTTGGTTACTGTCTGGCAGGCATAATGCTGTTTTGAGGTTAGGAAGGAGATCTATCTGAATTTGGCTAACTCTTAACAATTGTTGATGTGTGTGTGTGTGTAAGTATGTGTATGTGAGAGAAGTAGCCACTCCAAGGTTAACAGTCCTTGCAAAACTATTGGGGTGATTGAAACAACAATGTTTTTTTAAAGTCTTTTAAAAAGTTTCTTCCATGTTCTTCAGAGATGGGCAACAGGCAACCACTCACAATCTGAGAACCTACTGTCAAATGGATCTGACAGGTGTACATGTACCAGAAACAGTCATTAATATGCTAGCAGTTGTCAGTCATACATGGCAAAAGGAACAAATCATAGCAGTTCTCATGCTCCTTTTCCTTTTCTTATCTTATCTTCACTTCTGAACTGAAAAAGAGTTTGAGTTTTTCTTTTGTTTTGAAAATAATAACATCTTAACCTTAAATAGTTGTGATTATGAATTAAAACATCAGACATCAAATTAACCACAATTTTAATCTAATTATCTTAATTATTTAATCTAATTATTTTAATTATATAATCACCACACAGTAATCACAGCTGAACATTGAACATCTCTGGTAAACATGTATTTTTATACACACACACACATTGTCGAGTTTCATCTGTTTCTTGGAATTCTCGAAATGCATCAGAGACAGGAAATAAATATTGTTCAGAGTTTATCCATAATTCATTGCTGCTTTCTTCTGTAACGGCTTTGAATTTATTTAGGATTCAATGCTTCAGTTAATCATCAAGAATATGTAGAGTCTCTCAGTTTTGATTTATTGGATATTGGATTGTCTTGTGATGGTTTATTTCTTGTAAAAAGATAGTTTTGTCCTGTATTATATATTTTTCAGTCAATACCTGAAAGCTCCCAGTCAAGGTCCATTTCCTTCAGTGCACAGCGGCAATCATCTGAAGTGAGAGAATACATTGCTGGAATTGAGGTTAATTCATCCTATTTATTCTCATTTTGCTGTTGATGGTTTTTTTCTTTCAAGCTGCTTTGTTGGATAACTTACTTTATACCATAAGTGTTTTCCCTTCATGTGATTTCAGGTTTTTTTCCAGTAGCCGGCATTTTTCTTCAATAGACACAGGAAATTCATACTAACTTAACATTGAAGGAGGGGGTAAATGTTATGGCAACCAGGACTATGGTAATTTTGGAACAGAAAGAGGAAATATGGGGCTTGCTACCAGCACTTCAATAGCTTGTAAATAATGAGATAGTCTTCAAATAGTCACTTTGGCAGCCCCAGGTTTCTGTCCTTGTATTTTTAGAAATTGTCCATCGCTTCGTCTTTCCAATCAATAGATGTGACACAATTGTGGAATAGTGGACCAAAGTAGATATGCCATTATTCATACTGCCTCGATTTGCCTGCATTTTTAGTGAGTGTATGAATTCCACACCATGAGCGCTTTTAAGATTTAGTCCCTATGGATGATCCAGTGTAAATCAGGACTCCCATTTAGTACTGTTATATGGAAAGTATATGCCATTGCTTACATGCTAGCAGTTTCTCAAATAAATTGTTTTTAGTTTTTCCCAAACCTCACAAAATATTTTCTCCCACTATGTAATTCTCCATACACATTTTCTTTAATTGATCAAAATATGATAAAAAAACAAACAAACTGCAATAAGGGAAGTTCTTCTTCGAGTTGGGCTTGAATCCTGGCAATTTCATGGACTTGCAAATACACTTTTCTGGACAACAATATGGGAGTTGTTTGTCCCTGTTTTCTTCCCCAATATTTTTCTTGACTTTTCTGTCTAGCCTACAGAGTAGGATTTCCTGCTTGTTTCCTATCTCAATCAAGTCTAGCCTACTTAGCTTTCCAAAATTAGCCAAGCTGCCTAGGTGCTGCAGGATCAGTATTATATTATTTGGTTGAAACACAATTATTTCTATGAAGAAATTCTCTTTGAATGTTCTTTAAACTTTTCTTTCTTTAACAACTCATAATTTCACAAATTAAAAGTTTTATTCTTAAAAAACTGGGGTGGGGGGGCAACAACGTACGGAAGAGAGTGAAGCCTGATTAGGAACTCTAGCATTATTTTGACTGAGGTGCAAAAGATTACTAATAGAGGAAACAACTTCAAAATTATAAATACCTACAAGATAATGAGCAAGATATTGAACAAGATCTAGGAATTTAAGCAGGAAATATTGTATAAATTTCAAATGGGGATCAAAAATTGTTTTTAGAAAATGACTGCAAAGCATGTGCCTGTCTAGAGGAACCATGGGTGTGGTGACATTAATAACCAATAGAGGCATCTTGATGGCATGATTTAATTGCTCAATAGATAAAAGACAGCAGTTGGTATAAACACTGATTGGAATTACACTTATGTTACCATTAAACTACAATTATCTTATGACCGATTGCCATGGTTGGATTTCAGATGATAGTACCAGGTCTAAGTTTTCCCAACACAAGTTACAAGAGTACCATAATTTAACTTTTGAAAAGAATTTATCTGAAAGGCATAAACTGTTCCAATTTTAAGGCATATCTTTATAGTTCTTATTAATTGACTTCATTGTAGAGTTACATTTGGATTATTAAAAAAAGTAGCTCAATTAAAAACAGTTTGTAAATTTCAGTGGAATAAAACTAATATCTTGACTAACATTCTCCCTCAGGTTCCAGATGTAGTAATTCAAACAGCTACAGAAGAATCAGATTCTGCCTTTAAAATAGTTTCACCAGAGCAACAAAGCATACATGAAAGTGAAGATTATTTATCTTCAGAGGCTGAAGTGACATTAGAATCAATTGCTGAAAAGTCTAAAAAATTGCTGCTTGTCCCTACTGAAGAAACATTAGAAGTAAGAACAGTCATTTTTCTTTCCTATTGGATCATTGAAGGTCCATACATTAGGGCTACAGTATGACACTGAGGACCAAAAATGATTCAGAAAGTCTGAGTAAGCATCCAACTATGTCCCTCAGTGAAGGGAAGAATAGTCGATTCACGGGGAATTTTGGTGCATAGCAAACATTGTGAGTGCTTACTAGCAGTATGTGAAATATTTTCATCTTCCCATGGCTTTGCCTTTCTAGAAGGCAAGAGAACTGGACTTCTCAGATCCTGGAATATAATCACCAAAGAGATATAAGGATTTCCCAGGAATACTATGAAGCAAAATAGTGGGCATAATATATATACAAATGGTAAGGCATGTGGGGGGAGAGGAGAAAGGCGCTATCTTCAGAGGAAGGAAGTTCAGGAATTTTAAAGATAAAAAGATAATCGTTAAGGCACCCATGGTGTCTCTTAAACCTCTCTCTCCTGTGCAGATAGATAGATAGATAGATAGATAGATAGATAGATAGATAGATAGATGATACATAGATAGATAGATAGATAGATAGATAGATAGATAGATAGATAGATAGACGGACGGACGGACGGACGGATGGATAGATGGACGGACAGAGACTACAAAAAAGATGCTAGCAAACTAAAAGGAGCATAGGGAGGCTCTGGAATAGTTTCTAAATTCAGTTTCCTTTTTCTCTTAGAAGAGCTAGTCTCTTATCCTATTATTTAGGAGCCTTTAATGAAGGAGTTGGTAAAAAAATGAAATATATAGCTAGAAAACACAATTATATACTGTTGAAATTATAAATGGCTCTTAAAAGCTGGTAAAGTGTGCAGAATTCAAGATGTTTCTTCCTGATTGAACATTATGAGTTAGGAAGGTGATATGGTTGTAAAAAGGCAAAAGCCATTTTAGGCCATATCAACAGAAGCATCTATTATATACTGCCTGATAGATTCAATCTCAAGTACTGTGTGCATTTCTGGGGCTTTTACTTAGAAGGATTCAAAGAAAGTCAGATTCAGAGTTTCTGAGGCTGATCAACAGATTAGTAATGAAGCTTTGAAGAGGGCTTAAAGGAATTAGACATATCTAACCTTGAGAAGAAAGGACTGAGGGTCATATAATAGTCTTTTTAATAGCTGAAAGGATAACACACGGACAATTGAGATGTTCTTTAACCCCCTAGAGAAGATGGGATGAAATCATGGGTTTATGTTATAGGAAGGCAGATTCTAGCTGAACGTTAGGAAATTAGTTATTTTTATTTTAGAAATGTATAGGTTGCCCAACTCTACAACAACTCTGAGCATGTACAACAATAACAATAATCATACAATTAAAAAACCCAAATTCCAGAAGAAAGCAATCATTAAAGATAATGAGACATGAAGACCTACCACTTACTCAGTTCACAGCCTGGGGAAAGCCATGCTTTCAAAGTTCTTGTACAGAGTAGGGACTAGACAGGGGGATGGTGTTCCAGGTGATAGAGAATAGCAGTAGCAATAGCACTTAGACTTATATACTGCTTTACAGTGCTTTACAGCCCTCTCTAAGCAGTTTACAGAGTCAGCATATTGCCCCCAACAATTTGGCTCCTCATTTTACGCATCGGAAGGATGGAAGGCTGAGTTAACCTTGAGCCTGGTGAGATTTGAACTGCCAAATTGCATAGCTGGCAGTCAGCAGAAGTAGCTTGCAGTACTGCACTCTAATCACTGCACCATCATGGCTCATGTCCCATCAGGTGACACTGGGACCTGAATGAGACCTGGAGCATGGCCTGATTGTATAGGCCAGTGATGGCTAATCTTTTCAGCACAGAGTGCTGAAACTGGAACGTGTATGTGCGCATGCATGCACGCGTGCCAGAGCGCCAGAACTTGGAAGAGAGCAGCTGGTCGGTGTGCATGTGTGTGGCGGCCAGCTGCTCTTCTGGGTTCCATCGCATACATGTGTGCCGGACAGCTGGTCCAGTGTGCATGCGCACCATCCAGCTGCTCTCTTCCGGGTTCCAGCATGCGCATGCTAGACCAGCTGGCTGCCATGCATGTGCACACTGGAACCTGAAAGAGCAGCTGGCGATTGCCCACATGCCCACAGAGAGGGCTCTGTGTGCCAACTCTGGCACGTGTGCCATAGGTTTGCCAACACGGGTATAGACCAATCAGAAGGCGCAGAAGACCAGCTGGTTTTTTAGATAATTTTTTTCCCTTAATATTAAGAACAGTTCAATGGTAGAACCGCTTATCTACCAAATATCTTCACTAAATATCTTCAAGCAGAGGACAGATGCTCTAATGTGGTTCTTTTTCATAAAGCAAGATGTTGGAATCAGTAGCTTCAATGTACGTTCCAAGTCTCTGATCCTCTGAATGCTTAATGTTCAATTATTCTAATTGTATAATTAAATGATATAATTGTTAATGTTATTATGTTTATTCCTAGTGAATAATTAATTTTCCAAGGTGAAATATAAAATCTTAGTTTGTATGTCTATGGTTAAATTAAAGCAGGGAAGATTAGTCTTGTCTAATCTTCCCTGCTTCAATTTGAAATCCATCTTTGTGTGTCTATAAACCAGTTCTTACTATTTTTAGTCTACAAAAAGGCAGACCCAGCAACTCCAGATGAAAATCTTTGGAATTTATTTTAATCAAGATTTTTATCACATTCCTAAACAACTTGATCTTCTGATAGGACTTTGCATCTTCAGGCAAGGACTTGATAATACAAGGAAAAGCATTTCCAAAGGCTAGACCAGTTGAAACTCAGAAGAAGGTAGAAGACCTTCAGTATCAACAACCAGTATCTCTCCTTTCTACATGGACTACGAAGATCAAGTAAGCTTAAGATTTCTTTATGTAATGTTACTAATTAATAATATGATTTTACATTTACATTAGCTTCAGGTTGAGAAAAATCACTTATACATGTAATTTGAACAAAAATGTATGGCTGATTATAGATCTACAATGGTGTTTTAAAAGAACAAAAAAAAAAAGATAGGCTTAAGATACAGAAGGATCTTGAACATTGGGCACTAGCTAACAAAATGAAATTCAAAGGTGAAAAAAGTAAGAAATTTAGGCAAGAAAAACAAAATGCACAGGTACAGTATATGTGGTACCTCGCTCAATAGTAGTAACTTTGAGAGGGATCTTGGAGTCCTAGTGGACAACCATTTAAATATGAACCAGCAATGTGCAGCAGCTGCCAGAAAAGCTAACACAGTTCTAGGCTGTATAAACAGAGGGATAGAATCAAGATCACATGAAGTGTTAATACCACTTTATAATGCCTTGGTAAGGCCACACTTGGAATACTGCATTCAGTTTTGATTGCCACGATGTAAAAAAGATGTTGAGACTCTAGAAAGAGTGCAGAGAAAAGCAATAAAGATGATTAGGAGACTGGAGGCTAAACCATATGAAGAACTGTTGCAGGAACTGGGTATGTTTAGTTTAATGAAAAGAAGGACTAGAGGAGACAAGATATCAGTGTTCCAATATCTCAGGGGCTGCCACAAAGAAGAGGGAGTCAAGCTATTCTCCAAAGCACCTGAGGGTAGGACAAGAAGCAATGGGTGGAAACTAATCAAGGAGAGAAGCAACTAGAACTAAGGAGAAATTTCCTGACAGTTAGAACAATTAACCAGTGGAAGAACTTGCCTGCAGAAGTTGTGAATGCTCCAACACTGGAAGTTTTAAAGAAGATATTGGATATTCATTTATCTGAAGTGGTATAGGGTTTCCTGCCTGAGAAGGGGGTTGGATTAGAAGACCTCCAAGGTCCCTTCCAACTCTGTTGTTCTGTTAACACGAGTTTGACCAAGGCAAGGTAATGTACTCATAATAGCTCTGACAGAAATGTTGGCTAAGATACAACATAGTTGCTTGGAAATAAGTTCTTTTTCAATATAAAGAATGCATCTTACTAAACATGATTTGATATTAAACTGATATGTTTTGCCTGATCATGAGCTTTTCATTAGTTTTACTCTCCACTTTTTTGGCATATAATAATATGCAGAAAATATGCATATAATACAAAAAAAAGGCTTTCATAATTAGCTTTTGTAGTGCTTCAACCTCTGAAAAATTTCTTGGACATGGAAGAGAGGATTTTTATAGCAGGCCTGAAGTTCGTAAATGGGTATGACTTTCAGTTAAATAACAGAGGGTAGACTTGGAGAAAAAGAATGCCAAAGTTTATGAAACAGTCAAATGGCATTTGGGTGACCTTGTGCATGCCACTGCTTATCTGCATTGCTTTAAATGCATTCGGTTGGCAAGATTATATATTAAAACAAATAATGACAGCAGACAATGAGTATTTTACTTTAATAAAAAGTCACTGTCAAATTATCAGCAGTGCAGAAAAAGCATGAATTTGTGGAAAAAAAGACCTATTGAGTGAGGTTAATATAGGCCACACACATAGTATTGTTTTTCTTGTCTCTTCTTTCAAAGGATGATAAATAGACTGCTTAAGGAGAGTATGTGTTGTAAAAACACACACCTTTGCCTATAATGTGCTTTAAATATTTTAGTTTTTGCTACGAGTATTTCTATTTTGTTTGCTAAATTAATCTGCTTTTGGAGATCATGTTGGACACTGAAACTAGTTAGACAAACGTAAAAATACTAACAAAATGTGTTGGACATTAATGTTAATGTTTATTCCATTCACTTGTACAAATATTTTGTAAAAGTATGGAGCAATTCTCAGGTTAAGACAAAACATAAAAGATTAGAATTCAGAAAAAAATGGAATGTGTGTGAGGAAAGTAAAGCTGGTTTTATTGTGATTCATAGACTTTGTTTCATAGTTCATCAAGCACTTTGAATAGTTTCTCAATTAAGAAAACTCATCTATTATTTAGCAATCTTTATCTTTTTTCACTACCCACATTTATTGTGATATATCAGGAGGTTTTCAGTCTTGTCATAACAAACCCAAATGTGATTATCTTTTTAGAATAAGAAAGCTAGTCACCTTTGTTCCCAAAACATGCCAGATTCTGTTTTGTTTTGTTATGACAAAGATTTATACAGAGCTGCAATGAGGCTTATACTGTGTATATGTATATGTATACAACGGGAGGGAGGAGGAGAGAAAGAAGCACACTTTATAAATAAAATTTAATTTTATTCTTTAAAATTGATGGATGTGACCCAAGAAATATTGAAGCAGTTCATTATATATGGCTAGTATACTATATTATATGCATATTGGTCTGCTATTTATGAAGATACATTGTGTGTTGGATTGATTGTTAATCTAGTGGAACTGTTGGGAATTTGTGGGTATATAAAATACGTATTTACTATATATAGTAAATACTATATATATTAGTACATATATACTAATGAATAGTATAATTATGGTTGCTTTCTGATGTATGCTTGAGTGAGTCTTAAGAGACTTTCTTTTAAGTAAATATATTTAAGATGTTTAATTGAAGAGTTGCTTTATAGTCGGTATATACTTGCATAAGGTGTTGATATGATCTTTATTCCCTCCCCCCCAGAGATGTGGATTACCCACTTATTCATCTTCTATGTACCACCTCTCCTGGATTTGTGTTGCCCACTAATCTGCAGCTAGTTTCTAGAGTACATCATACTCTAGACAAACATGGTCATGATATTTCATTACCACCTATTAATTTTGACTGCCACAATTCTGAAGACCTATTCCCAGTAACTGCTGCCATTGAGAAACAAATCTTCAGAGAAAGGTAAGCATCTAGTACATTGTGAAATGCTTATATTTATCAGAATACTATAATACAGCTACATAATAAGTGATTCTCCCGCTATATCTTGTATCCTTATAGTTCTGATTTCATTCACCTATATAAAGGGTGAATGAAATCAGAATTGACCAAACTATCATTAATTTCAACAATTGCATAATGAAATATACAATTGTATAGTATCTCTTATTTTAATATTTAATCTTATTTAATATGACTCCTGTGAAGTAATATGTGGAAATGTCTATCTGCCCATCCATCCATCCAAATGGGGTTTGCACTACTAAGGTGACCCTGAGGACACAGATAAACCTCCAAGCGGCCTTGATGACTCTGTAAAAAGAATGCAAATGACCAGCTGTCCGCAAGGAGTATAAATCCTTCCACTCCCCACCATCCTGTCAGAGCTGAAGAAGTTTCTTGGATGAAAAGTGAAATGTCTTTACTTCCCATCCAAGAAGTGGAAGAAAAACAAGTCTAGTTGAAAAAGCAACTTTGGGAAAACCAGGACCTGGATGATTGAGAATCTCCATAGACATTTATACTAATGGTAGTATTCAAGTTTACATAAATGTAGGGCTTTTATCCTCAAAGAATCTTATTAACTTGCCATAGGAGATCTGTTTCATAAAATCCACTTAGTTATCTGAAAACACATTTATCCAGTTGGGAAATCTGTGCTAAATAATCTCTTCAGGATGCAATGGAATTGTTTCCTTTCCAGTTTCACCACTTGAGGTGCCTTTGGAAATTTGGAACAATAATCATTGCATTTCATCATTCATCATTTGGTTAGGGTCTTTACAGGATTGCTAGCCCAGACTTTTGGAAAAGATGTTTTGAGGATTTCAGTTTCTGATGAAACTCTATTCCTTTTCCCAATTTATCTATTTATAGTATTTTTTTTTAAATTAGATTTATATGCCGTCCTTCTCCGGAGACTCAGGGCATCTTATAATGCGTTAGTATCTAGCCTCTCTCTTCTTCTCTCTCCTCCTCTCCCTCTTCCCTTTCCCTCTCCCTCTCTCTACAGCTTAAAATGCAATTCCCAATTTTTTTTAAATGGCAGAAATTTAATGGCTTTTGGGAAAAATGGATGGGCCATCACTGCTCCTTTAATCTGCAATAAACATCCTGCTGCCTATTGATGTAAATTGCTGATCTGTAGCATCTGGCTTTCAGGGGTGCTACTTTATTCCCAGGCATAAAGGGTACCAATGCAAGAAACCTTTCTAAATGGTGGCAGAGCTGCTTTCTCATGGGCAAGCCTTCCTTGCCCATGAGAAATTAGTATGTTCAGTGTGAAGTCAACATTTTTGTTAATTTTCCAGCAATTCTGAATTATTTTAAATCAAGGTGGACTCATGGGTATCCACAACAAAGAGCAAAATAATATTGTCATTACCTGGATCAACTGGAATCCCAGATTTCCAACTTCCATTAAAAAGAGTTTGTATCTTAAGAGTTTCTAAAATATGAGAAAAAATACAGTAATTTTTTTCTCTGATTTTGTCACAATCTTTTGCCTTTCATTTTTGGGAGCAAATGAATGAACAGTCTTAGTAACGTATGACACACAGAAGAAATGAGTGTTGTATTATGTAAATAATTCAGCAATTCAGACTTTTGTTACAGCTCTGACTGGGATAGTTTTGTGGTAGTTTCTGTGCAAACGATGTCATGAGTTTGGAGTTGGAGTTTTTAATACTTTTACACATCTATATCAGGTGTGAAATGCTACTGGTTTGGGCGAACCGGTAGAGATTATTGCCATTGGTTCGCCAAACCGGTAGCAATAATCCCTGGTGCCCGCAGCGCTTTCCCTTTGGCCTGGGAGGCAGCGCTTACCTGGGCAGGCCAGTACGGGTAGCCCTTCATCTTGGCGAAGACCAGGTGGCCGTACTTGTAGTTGTGCAGCCGGGTGGAGCAGGACATGGCGCAGGCAGAGAGGCCGATGTAGCCCCCGCTGAGGCTGCCGTGGCCAAGCTGTGCCTCCCCAGCAACAGGCGTGCCGGGACTTCCTTGCCCGCCACCTTGATGCGCTGTGCTTGGAAGGGGCCTCCCTCCCTCCACGCCTGGCTGCAGATGTCCACCTGCCCTCCTGGAGCACCATTGTGCCACTGCCATTCGCTTTCTTCCTTCTCCTGCCGTGAAATAAAAGCGAACAGTGGCGACGGTGCTTCAGGAGGGCATTGCATGTGCAACACCATCCAGGATATCAGCTTGCCCTCCTGGAGCACCGCCGCAGCAGCACTGCCCCTCTCAGCCCCGGAGCAGCAGCTGCATCTCCACTAACAGCCACCTGCTGTCAGCCTTACCAACATGGTGGCTCCATTGGGATGATGGGCATGCTGAATACACCGGTGGAGGATCTAGAGGGTAAGGCTGATGCTGATGGCAGGGGCGGGGCACAGGAGGGAGACCCACTGCGCTTACCTCCTTAGAGGGACATGGCGAAGCTCTCTCGCCTTTTGGGCCTGGAATGCTTGGCTTCTGCGGGGCCTTTGGACGACTCTGCCCGCTTGCCTTATCCCCTATCTTGGATCCCGCTGCCTGCATCCATCCCATGACGGGGGACGTGCCACTTCCAGGCTGGGCAGCCTGCCCTCCCGGAGCACTTTCTTCCTTCTCCTGCAGCAGCAGCTGGAGCCGAGACTGCTGCTCTGCTGGGGTGTGCATGGGCAGCCCCAGGAGGGTGGGCAGATGTAAGGCTGACACTGGCGGTGGGGAAGGGAGGCTCACTGCGCTTGGCAGAAGAGCTGCCTCGGGGGAACATGGTGAGGCTCGCTCACCTTTGGATCTGGTGTGCTCGGCTTCCACATGGCCTTTGGGCGACTGCCGCCCACTTGCCTTCACCACTGCCTGCCTCCAACCCATGATGAGGTATGTGCGACTTCCGGGCCGGGTTGCCTGCCCTCCTGGAGCACTTTTTTCCTTCTCCTGCAACAGCCGCTGCTCAGGCCAGTGTATGTGTGTGTGTGAGTGAGTGTGAGAGAGAGACAGAGACAGAGACAGAGACAGACAGAGACAAGACAGAGAGAGAGAGAAAGAAAGAAAGAGAAAGAAAGAGGAAGAAAGAAAGAGGAAGGGAGAGAGAGAGAGAAGAAAGAAAGAGTGACGTGAGTGGCGTCATTTTGGCCATGGCCACCCGGTCACATGACCACCAAGCCACGCCCACCAAGCCATGCCCACAGAACCGGTGGTGAAAATTTTTAGATTTCACCACTGATCTGTATTTATATACAATACAGGCAGTAATCCAGTTGATATGTATACTGCTGAAGTCTATCATTGTTTATGGCCATTTTGCAAACAGTAGGATGGTGACTAAAACTAATTTATGCTAGTCTTAATATTGTCATATTTGCCTGCTTTTCTTTAAGGGAATCAATATTTTGGAATTGACATGCTGGGTGGATTTGTAGTATTTGTAGTACGTTTGTAAGTGTTAAACAAGACCACAAGTTGCACTTTCTTCTTTTGCTTGCAGCAGACTCAAAAATGTCCATTACAACTACAATGTTGGGGGGAAATGTGAGAAAATATGCATTGAGTCATGATTCAAACTCCTGAGTTTTGTACATCCATCTTTATATCAGGTGCATGTAGTTAGATCACAAGTTTTGGATCATGATGTTACAATGCACATCATTGTTACTGCCTTTCCTTTCCTTTTCCCCTGCCCTGCCCTGCCCCCCAAATACTTTAGTATTCCTGAGAAATTCCTGAGAATCTAATGTGTTACTTACAGAGCAGAGACTGGGGTGGTGGCAAGATAGACCAAGTGGCATTATACAACTGAAGTAAATTAGGAAAGAATATATTTATCAGGTTTATATCTTTTTATTCTCCAAAAATACTGTCTAGACATCTAGTGAATTTTGTTCTGCTATTTGACCAGGAACACCTTTCTCATCAGGTTTAAACATTAATTTATTTTCTTTATTCAATCTATGATATCATCCACTCTTTGAAGATTTGAATGGCTTCCTGTATTTCAGCTTTTTAGAAATGTATACATAGGCAGAAAGAAATAATTGGGAATCCCAAATTTAATCTATGAAAAGAAAGGACAGATTTTTAAATCACTTCTCAAGGTCAGGCTGTTCTATTATGGTAGATTGCTGCCCACACAAATTGGTAGTGTAGCCAGGTAATTATTTGCTGTAGGCAATATTACATATTCTTCCATTAATATTTAATTGTGTCATGAGGTGAAGATTTTCAAATAGATACTTGGAAGGTTTACACAGAATTAAATCAAAATAAAATCCAAATAAATCTTTAAAATTATAGAAATGGACTGAAAGGAACAGAATGAAATTTAACACAGTGGAGTACAAAGTACAATAGTACAAAAATTGTAAGAAGCAAAAGATTAAGTGTAGAGATACAACGTAAGATATCTGGCTGGGTATTTGTGAAAAAGAGTAGTTGATTACAAACTGAATAAATGAGTCAGCACTGAATTGACTCATTTTTTTAAATAGATGTGTATGTAAAAAAGGCAAATCCAATTTTAGACGGCATCATCAGAAATCTAGTTTTCAAATCATTGGATGTAACAGTTTTAGGACATTCCTGTAAGCCTGATGGTGAGCTGATATCTTGCTGACTTTTGTTGGCTAGCAGGATAGATTTTGCGAAGGAAATTATCTCTTGATGCTGGATTGAAGCAGGCATAATCACTCCAGAACAAAGGAGAGATCATTGAGGTTATCCATGTGACTCCAAACAGTGACTCCTCATGAGTAGACTGTAGAAACTTCTCTTTTTATGGTCAGCTTATGAGTAGGGTGGCTGAGAGTAGGTATGCATCAAGTTCACACTTATAAAGGCTTATATCTTAATTACTTTTTCGATTTTTTCATATTGGAGAGATTAAGACTCTTCAAACTGGCCAGGTTTTCTTGTTCATCGGGTGAGTTTCTGCCTCCATAAAAGATGATATATATTTTATTTCAAAAGTTTTAAAAATATATTATTTTTTGGACTATGCAGTGAAAGATTGCTTAATATAAGGATTTTAGAAAGTTAAAAACAAATTAAGGGGGAAGAGGGATTTGGAATTATAGGTTTGAATTTTTTGGAATGTCTTTTCTCATGGGGAAATGTAGATTGCGTTCACATTTTTTTTTTTTAAATGATAAGGAGATTCTGAAGACTGAAAAGTAGAGCCAGAATCTTAAAGGTGCTTTTCAAAAGGCAACTGGACTTTCTTGTTTTTTTTCTTGAAAACTTCTTATTCAAGAAGCTTCTTCAGTTCTGTCTGAGTGGTGTGGAATAGGAAGATAGAGCTAGAAAATAAAGAAAATGGAGCAGAAATCCCTAGTGTAAATTTTTGAATACCTTTCAGCCAAGTTTCGGGACAGAGTGGATCAAATCCTTGATTAAATTGGTAGAACATGTTGTATTGTGATTGTAAAACAAGAATGAGCTGCAATAATGCCTATAAAATGTTTTTACTTAGGCTGTGCACCGCCCTGAGTCCTATTGGAGAAGGGCGGTATAGAAATTTAATTAAATAAATAAAATAAATAAATAAAATCAAATTCAAAGCGACTTAAATGTAACACAAATGGAACTGATGGATGACTCATTTTCTAAGGAGAGATGAACAAATATTAAACCAGGAAATTGATCTGGATATTTTTTTCTTCTAAGAAAATCTCTTATTTCTTCTAAGATTTCGAAGGACTTTTTTAGAAGCAATAAACAAAAAATAACTTTTTTATTGATACACAAGAAATCTGTTAAAGTTCTGAAGGATTTTTGTTTTGAAACACAGATCAACAGCAAGCTGCCCCTGAGACTTATTTTTGAAAGGGTTAAAGAATAATTTTAAAAAATCAGACATTTATAAATGGGCAGTTATTAAGGGATGACTACCTGTAGAATAAATTGTAGGAAAGCCAATTCATACTGAATGTTAGAATAAAACTTTGTAAAAGTGGAATCAATTATGCAGTGAAGTGGCGAGCTTCCTTTCATCAAACATGTTCAGATGGAGGCTGCAGTAGATGGCCATTTCATTTGCGTCCTGCACTACTCTGGGATAGACTCTATAGGTAAATGGCTCCTTCCAACTCTATTATTCTATAGTTTTTCAACATCTTACTAGCAGAGCAGTTTGTTAGTTTACTTACTATCATATGCCTGATATTGCATGCATGGAATGTATAAAGCTTTGCTGGCTGGGGAATTCTGGGAGCTGAAATCCACACAGGCCGCCAAGGTTGAGAAACACTGAATAGGCTTTTGAATCTTCTTTTCTGGGGAAATGCTAATTGCAGTTATTAGTAAACAATAATACTAGGGATTACTGACATACTCTGAATTGAACTGAGTATAACCATCTTGTGGAAGAATTCTATTTTGCTGTGCTATTATTGTTTAGTTACAGAAATAGGGGGTTTTATCATCCTTTCTTTGGTAACAGAGCTAATGAATTACCAGTAGAGGTCACTGTTGTAATGTCCAAATGAGGTGAGAATAATATATGCATGCCAAGGAAGTCATCAAGTTAAATATTATATAAGGCAGAGGAAAGGGATGAGAAATAATGAGCAAAATAAATTAAATGTAAGCTAAATAAAAAAACCAAATCTAACTAAATCTATTTTATATAATATTTTATGATACTTTACTATTCTTGCAAAACATCCCCCTTTCCACTATGTCTGTACAGGTAGTCCTCGATTTACAACAGTTCATTTAGTGACTGTTTGAAGTTACAATGGCACTGAAAAAAGTGACCTATGACCAATTTTCATCTTGCAGCATTCCCAAGCTCACGTGATCAAAATTCAGAAATTTGGCAAACTGGTTCATATTTATGACAGTTGCAGTGTCCCTGGGTCATGTGATCAGCTTTTGTGGCCTTCTGACAAAGTCAATGGGGAAGCCAGATTCACTTAACAACTGCAGTGATTCACTTATCAAATAATATTGTAACAACAGCAAAATTGAAAATGATGATATCTAGAATCTAAACATAGGCTAAAATATTATCAATATGAGCTATGCAGAAGACAACACTTTATTAATTGGAAATGAAGACTTAGAAGATGTATTTTATGAAAACAAAAATGAAAAAAATCCGAGTTAATGTTAAATATTAATAAAAGGCAATGTCAGCTAGCATACTCAGTGATGTTAATGGTGAAAAAATGAAGGTGTTAATTGTTTTATTTTCTTGAGGGGAGGAACACAAGGACAAACCTGGACAAACTGAAGAAGAATAAGGATATTTCTTTCCAGTGGTAATAGGTGGAGTGAAAGAGTGTGAGAGAAAAACCTTTGAATTAAGAAAAACATCGATTGTAAGAACTAGTCAATATTGAGTCAAACAAAAACTGTTCCCTTGAAGTGATGACCAACAAGCAGAAACTCGCATGCTTTGGCCATGTGACATAAGCAGATGATAAACTGGAAATAAATATTACATTTGGTGTAGTTAAAGAGAAGTAGAAGAGAAAGGCAATGGAGAAGATGGATGGCAAATACAAAGAGATTACAGTGGTGTAGATGGAAGAAGTATGCACTATTGTCAGAGAAAGATTGAGGCTCCATTTATCCCTGCTGTTACCATAAGCTGAGCTTGAGTTTATAACATCTAATGAACAAATTGTGCATATTTTTTAGAGCAAAGGGCTGATCTCAATACTCTGTGTCCTAGATGGATAGCTGGAGCTGTGAATGAATCTGTCTTAACAGTTTGCCTTTAGCATTGTAAATATCTTTTGGTGTACAGTTTTTATATTTCTCTGTCAGAAATACTGTGTACAAATGAGGGAATTCCTGGTCTCTGGGTTGCCAGCTGACATATGGAAGGGGATTGGGAAGGATGGGAAGGAAGACAAGAAAAATCAGCACAGACTTGGTAATAGTTGCTGAGGTAATATTCAATATTGATAATCACCCATCAGTTGGAGGTTTTCATACCTCCAATTTCTAATTTCATTCATGGGATTGTCCTTTTTAATATAATTCTGTATTTACATATTCTCTCATTTCAATTAGACAAACAGTAGTAGATTATAATAATTCAATAAGAAAGATGTAAAATAAAAATAAAATTGCACTGTGTGAATGTTCACGATAAAACAGAAAATTGATGATGTAGTCATGGCACAGTAGAAAGTATCAAAGGCTGTTAAGAAATTATTGTATGAAAACAAAGTGTTTCACTTGAGTTTATACTACATCCAATATTCATACTTACATTCATTCAACTAGCTGTAGGTCAAATTGTATGTATTCATAAGGATTTAGTAAAGCTGTTTAAGACAGCACCAAACTCTCCAGGTTTTATCTATTGATAAGTGTGCCTTTATTTCATCCAGAAGAAGAAACAGGATTATATACAGTACTTTCTGCTGCCAGCTCTAGTAACTCATTTTAGTAATCTCATTAAGCCATGTATGTGGTTTTTGACTTAGAATGATATTCAAAGGCATTCCTATATGAATCAGTCAGTGTGTCTTGCTACAAAGATAAACATAAACTTCTGAAAATGGTGGTGAAGCAACCACTGGATGTTGTTTATTTCACCAGGACTGTATTTGTCCTACAGTAAGGATTTGCTTCCTTTGCAAAAGCAATTAGTAAACTTCAACAATTTAAAGTAGAACCAGTGGTGGGATTCAGCCAGTTCACACCACTTCGGGAGAACCGGTTGTTAACTTTCTGAGCAGTTTGGCCAACTGGTTATTGGAAGAAATCATTAGGGCAGAGAACCAGTTGTTAAATTACTTGAATCCCACCACTGAGTAGAATTATGCATATATCTTCAAGCTTTAGCATTATCTAATATAACTCCAATTGTGAGTTTAGAATTTGATTCTGGGCTGCTTAGCAGGTAGGAATGAATTATGCAACTATGCATATTTTCATCTAAAGCATCTAACAGCTATAGGAGCTTCAGATTTATGTGATAGTTGACTCTCTCATCTTTATATTTGTCAAACTGTTCTAAAATCACAGTTGTGGTAACTCCAGCTAAGATATTGTTTGCTTGATTTTATTCCTGAAATTGAGTTATGCAAAAGGAATAAATTAATAACATAGCTGGTGTATTCTATATAGTACAGCTTTGGTCAATGGCTGAAGTTTTGCCTTATACTGACAGAAGTTTCATTTCTCAGTGTTACTCATTAACTCTCATTTAGAAGAAAAGTTGTACAAATCTTTACTTATATCCGCTAATGTACATGCTCTAATTTGGCTGGGGAAGAGGGATCCTGAATGAATGTTGTATGGTGGGCATTATAAATAACCCAACAGCTTCTGCAAAATATATTTTATTTCAGGATTTATAATGAAGGACTTTCCATTTCTGAGGTATACCAAAGCAGTCAAGAAGATGGAATTCAAGTTTTACCTCCAAGGTCACCAAGAAGTATGCCTGAGTGGCAAAGAATAGCTGAATTCTATGTCGAAAAGCCTCAGCTGAAATTATTAGGAAAAAAGGTATGGCTTCATTCATACTTGTAGTAATTCATAAGAAAGCTTTTAGATATTTTTAAGAAATCCCATTTCTGAAGAGTAACCGAGATTGGTTTTCTTTAAATCTTGCAAAAGAAACATACAAAGTTGCTTGTAAAAATATGTGAGTTTATCACCAGATAGACCTCTATATTCTTTCTTTTTTGTCAGTATTCTAGGATTAAGTTAATTGAAAATAAGAGGTTTGTCTTTGATAAAATTCCCAACTTGTGACAAATAACAATATGTGGCTATTGCCACTTAACAGATACATTGGGAAACATGCAGTTTTAAAGAAGCCAATGACTTTTACTGTATTAAAAATATAAGGGTTTACTTTAGTTTAAATCAAACATTTGAAACATCAAACACAGCACTCTTCTAAAAGTTCCCTGAAAGGGATAGACAGTCTTGAGTTCACACTCAAAGTTACCTGTGGGAAGGTGATATCAACACTTTGAATGGAAGGGTTTTTTTATGCCCTCCAGCAGTCTGTAGTAGCACACTGCATTATTTGAAGACAGCAAAATGTGCATAACATACAATATATCTGCTGTTCATTTAAGCAACGTGTTTAGAATGAATGCTTAATAATATATCATATTAAATTAGTTTTCAAATTATTTTTTGAAGATGAAACTTCAGCCTGGATCTCTTAAAATGTTTTGGACTCCAGCTCCCCATAAATTTTCTGCTCCTCTTTCTGTTATGAAGGAAATCTTGTTTTCCAAGTATGAGGTAAACTTTCTGAACATATTTGAAGACCACGTGAAATTTAGCATCAGGTTTGTGTTTTCCTAAATATGCAGCTATGCAGAGAAAGCATAGCCTTTTCTGTATCAGGATCTACTGTATATTAAGTATGTAAATTACACAACAATTAAATATTTACTTTAATTCAAAAAAATGATAAATTGTTCTGCAATAATACAGAATTTATTACAAAATTTCCTTTTAATAATTATATGCATCTTGCCATAATCGTAGACATATTTTCTATGAGTACTATGCTCCTAAATATTTTACTTTCTAGGTTTTCAGTATTTGTATAACTTAAAAATTAACGGTGACATCTTGAGAAGTATACACAGCTAGATTTTCCAGTTCTATTTATTTATGTGTTTGTTTCCTTGTTTATGGTGAAGCATAAAGCCAAAGTAAGATTGCCTACAATATTCATTGTTTCAGCTTTTATTCTAGAATTTTTATAGTTTTGAAAAAAGAAAACCTTGAAAGTTTGTTTAATCCATGGAATGTGGGATGCTAATATAACCACAACTAAATTCTTAAGCCAAAAATGAATAATCTTTCTCAATAGGGTTTCTTACCCTACATATAATGGTGGTTTACCCACTGAGCCTTCTTTCTCTCATTACTCTCACCTAAACAAAATTGAAAGCTTGTATATTATGGCTGAAATTGGCAATTCAATTGTTTTCTTGAATTTAAGTTTAGTTTTTATAGTCCTGGATTACTGTTTATAGCTACATAGTATTTTATATCATAGAAAAACACATTCTCCTTAATTTTTTTCCAGAGCAATTTGGTTCATGGGGTTATTTATGAAGATTTTTCCATTGATCTTCAAGAGAAAGAAAAAGCAGAAGGCGAAGATGATTTTGACTATTTATTTTCTGTATGTATTATAGTTATAGGAAGAGCTACAAAATAATAGTATCAATTAATGGCAATCAGCAACACTATATAATGTGTGAAGGTTATGGCACAACATTACCTGTCTTAATAGGAACATGTGGGAGGGCTGACATTCTGTAAACCTATAAAAATAATGTAGTTTTTTTACTGGAGCCAAATGTAACCTACCCAGTTACTGATGTTAAGAATAACTTAATTCATGCTATTGTTTTATTTCTGCGTGAGCTTTATTGTAGCTACAGCTGTTATAAGTCCTTTGAACTATGGGTTGCTGCAATGCACAGAGAAACACCTGTCTGAGAGGAGAGGAAGCTTTACCTCAGGAGCTTTTCTCTTTGCTTTAGCTTTTGTGATCAAATCTGGTGACTCGGCCAGCTGCCCTTGATGGCTTCATGATTCCTTCAGGGTTTACTTTGCAAATATTTTTTTTTAGTTCAGTCTGAGCTGGTTAATTCCACCCTACTCTTTAACAATTCACTGTTGCATAGCTCCCCCTAGTGATGAGTAGGGTGTCTGTCAACTCCTGAACAAAGTCAGGCAACCTATAGGCTTTGCTGCTTCTCGTGCAGGAGTGTCATGGCAGCGTCACATGATGTATTGGGACTTCTTTCCTCTCCGCTAAACTGGGTGTGGGTGTGGCCAGCACATGATGCATCCAGGCTGCGGGCCAGGAGTTTGACAGCCCTGTTCTAGTGTGCTTGCATCTTGTGGGACACACGAGGACAGAAAATGTTCATCTGTAGGCACAAACATCCATGAACAAAGACGTTGTCATTAGCAAGTTTGCACTGTTGTTCTAATTGAGGATACAAGTAGATTTAGTTTAGTGTAATAAGGATGCTAGGCAACCACATATTTCAAACTCTTCCTGTGTGTTGTCACATATAAAGTATTTTATATAATATAATATCTAATCATGGGACAATATCCAACTTTTATCTGCTACAAATCAAACTATCCATATTGAGTCTTGGATTTTTAATATATTTATTTTTGATATGCCACTATAAAAAAATAACTCATTCCAGAAGGATGTATCTCATCTTCATTTATGGAAGGCTACTATTATGGTAGTAAAAAGAAAAAAGTCCTAAATTGTCCTATCTTTTACAGCCTTTGTTTCTTGAAGGATAGTTAGGTTGATGTGGACTAGTAATTCCTCTTGGATAACCAATTGTTGGAAATACTTCATCTAAGTTATTAAAAAGTATGTGCTTTAATTTCTTCCATCAATATTTGTTAATTTTAATAATAAATATTAACACCAATTTTCCTGATTTAAATAATTGTAATTAACCAAGATCATCATAAAATTCATATAGATTGCTTACAGGATCAGAATCTAAAACCATTTTTCAGATAAGAACTATACTAGGCTTTTAAAAATCTTATTATTGTAAAAATATCAATTTTGTTTTTATTGTAGAATATTAGTGCATATGGAAGACGTGGTTCCTTTTCAGAACTTGTGTTTCCCAAAACTACAGTAAAGGTATTGTAATTTTAAAATTAGAAGTATGTTTCATGATATGATTTTATCTGTGGTTTGATTATATACTCTTAATAGGAAACTATATTAAAAATTAATTTGCCGCATTGTGATCAAGTAAGAATAATCATAGTTAAAATATGATTTCCTTTTTGGTAACTGTACATATTGGAAAGTTGATTTGTTAAAAGATACTATTATTTAGTAGTTATATTCAAAGAAGAAAAACCTGACCAATATAGTAATTATCAGAAATTGATATACTATTCCCAATCATGAGATGATGCTGATGTGACTATGATGTTTAAAGTTGAAACACTCACAGAATAAAATGGAATAAAGAGAACAATTACACTTAACAGATTATTCAAAAGGAGGCAGTTTATTTTTCCCAATGAAGGATAATAGTATAACATCTATTTGTTGTTTCAGAACAGATTGAAAGGCCATATGGTTTGCTTTAAAACTCTTTGTTTTTTCGTTAGTATTACATTCAGGTCAGGGCTAGATGATGGATGATTTCTTACCTCTATGTCTGATGATACTGGAAGGCAGGTCTATAAGGGAGGGAAGCTCCTCATTTTAGACAATGAGCTTCCAGTGTAAAATGCCTTTCTCCAAGCAGAAAGAGACAGGGACAGAATAACAGAGTTGGAAGGGACCTTGGAGGTCTTCTAATCCAACCCCCTGTTCAAGTAGGAGACCTTATACCATTTCAGACAATGACTGTTCAGTTTCTTTTTAAAGGGCTCCAATGATGGAGCACCCACAACTTCTGAAGGCAACCCATTCCTGTCTCTTATTGTTCTCACTGTCTGGAAATTTCTCCTTAATTGCAGGTTGCTTTTCTCCTTGATTAGTTTCCATCCATTGCTTATTGTCTTTCCTTCTGGTGCTTTGGAAAATAGGTTGACACCTTCTTCTTTATGGCAGACCCTCAAATATTGGAACCCTGTTGTCACGTCGCCCCTAGTCCTTCTTTTCATTAGACTGGCCAAACCCAATTTCTGCAACTGTTCTTCATATGTTTTCGCCTCCAGCCCCCTAATCATCTTTGGTGCTCTCCTCTGCACTCCTTCCAGAGTCTCAACATCTGACCAAAACTAAATGCAGTATTCCAAATGTGGTCTTACCAAGGCCTTATAAAGCAGTACTAATTCTTCATGTGATCTTGATTCTATCCCTCTTAATGCAGCCTAGGATTGCATTGGCTTACTGGCAGCTGCAGCACCTTGCTGTAGAATATTTAAATGATTGTCCACTAGATTTCCAAGATCCATCTTGCAGTTACTGCTATTGAGCAAAGTTTCACCTAATCTGTACCTGTACACTTGGTTTTTCTTGCCTAGGTGCAAAACTTTACTTTTCTCTACATTGAATTTCATTTTGTTAGATAGAGCCCAATGTTCAAGTTTGTCAAGATCCCCCTGGATATTAAGCCTATCTTCTGGGGTGTTTGTTGGCTACTCCTGCCAACTTGGTGTTGTCTGCAAATTAGATGAGCTCCCCTTCTATCCCCTCACGTAAATCATTTATGAAGATATTGAAGAGTACTGGGCTTAAAACAGAACTTTGGAGTACTCCGCTGCTTATTTCTTTCCATATAGATGTAGCATTACATAATGAGTGCCATTTATCAATCAGATTTCTGGTTATAACTTCGTTTGTTTCTAGGTGTTTGGAGTTCTGTTGCTTGATTATTTTTTCCAGGGTCTCTCCAGGTATTAATGTCAAACTAATTGGTCTGTAGTTTCCTGGATCCCTTACCATTTTCTTGCCTATTTTAATTTGGATTCCTTGTCTGCCTTTTACGGTTCTGTCTTTGGTAGGTTGGGCTATTTTTTTCTTTTTTGTGTAAAGAGAGATGTAAAGAAAGAATTAAAGCAGCTCTGCTTTCTCCCTGCTGCTTGTCACTTCCTTGCCATCTTCTACAATCTTCTACAGTGGACTGATTGTTTCTTTGACTTTTTCTTATTTTTTATATGTTTTATATGGATCATTGTTTTCTGCTTGTGCTTTCATAGAGAAACATGCTCCATGTAAGAGAAATTAAGAAACACCTGCTTCCAGGCCATACTTTCATAGCAGTATCTTCAGGGAAAGCAAAGTGTGTGTGTGTGTGTGTGTGTGTGTGTGTGTGTGTGTGTGTGGCAGGGGGGAGAGCTTTCCCTTGGGTTGCTATATTCTAGAAGTGGGAGTTTACAAACTGTATATGGCTGGAGATTCCCCAGGCCGAGGGCCGTCTCCCATTCTGCTCTAAAAACTCCCTTGTCCCTTTGAATAAGATTTTCTTTGCCTCTTCAGCCAGTGAGAGTCTACTGCTCTGGATAATTCTGATTCTAGTCATTCCTTAGTTTAAAAATTCATAGCAATGGATAACACATATAATATTTCCTGGGTTAAGTGGTAAATATATTGAATCATGCACTAAATAAATAAATAAAATGTAATTAAATAAAATTCAAATGTCAGTATGAATATTTTATGAATGAATATTCACAATATCAGAGCACTCTGCTATATGCTTGTATCACTATTGCATAAATTTACATTTCTCTAAAAGGCTATAGTTCTTTTGCAGTTTTTCATTAGTCTTCCAGTTTTCAATTTACCTATTCTGCTTAGTTTGGACAGCAACTAATAGATTCTATTTTTGTAAAACATTATATTGTAAAACCTACATAATTACATTATACATTATATTATTTCAATACATTAATATTTATACTAATGATTATTAACTTGGGAGAGTTCAACCTGCCATCCCTGGGTTCAGCCTTGGCTGTGGCCCAGGAGTCCATGACCACCATGTCAGACATTCCAGATTATCACAGAATTGTCTTGGGACAGTGATCGCACATGTTGTATGATAATTTTTTTATCCTAAGTATTTAGGGCTCCACTCTGTTGTTAACTAATATTATCTGTGCATGTTGAAGAGTCTTATTCTTTTCTGCACTATGAAAATAGATTTCTCTGAATTATTAATAATCTCTTAGCAAACAATATCTTTAGACTGTAAAATCAGAATTGCTTAATTATTTAAAATTATATTTATTCTCTATATGTTTTTTGATAACTATTTTGTATTATAGGATGAAGACATTAGATATGTAAGTAGTCTGCTATAGAAGAGTGACTCCTCTAGCAAATAAGTATGATGGATTTCTATGTTTTATTCAATTCACATGACATTAGTATGTATAATAGTGCAATAATTTTCTATGAAGTTTATTGCCAAAATTTCAGATTATTTGAAATAAAAATATGAAAATAGATGCATATTTTGAAACTCCATATCTAATTACACTTACCAGAACATGAGTAGCATTTCCAACTTATTTAGTTTATAGTTATTCTCTTTACAAAAATTATTTGGAAGTAATTTATAGCAATTCTGAATTCATACTAGAAGTACAAATTTTTGGCCTGTGGTATAGTATATATTTCTACAAAAGTTAGAAATTGAAAATTGTAATGTATAGTATTACTCCTAAATGCAGGTAATCCCAGAGTTAAGAGCAAATGTTCGAAGTTATGCAATAAGTGCTCCCTAGTGTTTATGAACAAGTTCCAAATTATGAATGTTGCAGCTCATGGCAGTTGTTCGTCCTTATGAATGACCGCAGAGGCTCTGCAACATTCGCCCTGCCAATCCCCACCTCTTGCTGGGGCTTCATAGGCACTAGGCCTGTGGATACTCACCTTGTGAAGATCTAACAGGCTTCCTTGGCCTGTTTCGGCGCTTCAGGCCTTCAGTGAGTATGCAGAGAATGGAGGTCTAAAGTACTGCAAGATCACGTGAGATCAGTAGCACGTGATCTCAGGCTACTGATCTCTGGTGATCTTACGGTACTTTAGACCTCTGTTCTCTGCAAATGGAGACCTGGATGAGATCTGCAGAAAAAGGCTTTGCAAATGGAGGGAAGGCCTGTTACATTGAAGCTTTCCCTCCATTTGCCATCTTGCAAAAAGCCTTTGCTACTGAGAATGAAGGCCAGGAGGGACCGCACATTGCTCTGGAGGCTCCGTTTTCTTCAACAGAGGCCTTGAAGAAAGGCCTTTCCTGGTGAAAACAAAGCTCCAGAGTGACGCATGCTCCCTTTGTTCTTTGAAGTGGCACCCCATAGGCACATAAACACTTTTTGGTCAGAGGCTGAAAGCTTCTGTGAGTCATGATCTCTTGAGACTTCAGGCACCTATCCACTTCTTGCAGAGAATGGGTGCCTGAAGTCTTGCAAGATTAGGGCATCCAGAAGCTTCCAGTCTGTGCACAAAAAGTGGCAGGCAGAAGTGGCAGGCAGCCTTGGTGAGTCAGAGAAGCCAAGCAGGGTGTGCTCATCCTGCTCTCCCTCTGCTCTCATCACTCGCTTGGAGCAGCAAAGAAACATAGAGGCTGGAGAGGAGACAGATCTTCACAAGGTAACTGATCCAGTGCAGCAGAATGGGGGGGCGGGGGACCATTCTCCCTCCCTTCGAGGGGAGGGAGAATGGGGTAACTCAGTGAGTCAGGGGAGGTCTTGGGCGGTCTGAAGCAGATGGCTTGTTCTATCGCTAGGCCCCCCATGGGATTCTCCACATGAGATACCTCATGTGCACACTGAGCTGCACATTAGCGAATGCGTGGGGAAAAGTAGTGATCACGTTCAAGTTACGCAATTCCCTCCTATGAATTATCGGGTTTCAAACGGAATGGGCAAGCTCCATTGCATTCGTAACTTGAGGACTACCTGTAATAACTCATTCCTGACCTAATTCAGCCTGCAAGGAAGTTCTGTAGTAAATTTATGTAGATGAAACATTTAAAAACAAGGCCTTCCAAATGGGTGGGTCTATAACTCCCACAATTCTGTTAGTTCAGGAATGTGAATTGTCATATGTTTCATCTCACACAGCATCATTATTTTATCAATAAACATTGAGTTGTGTTTGTTGATCATTAAGGCTTTTCAATTTGGCCACTGCAATGTTTTCAGCAAAGGCAAATGTATACTATATCTAGATATACTATGCTATTATCACAATACTCAGATTCACTAGGCCAACTATAATATTCGCATGGAACTTTGGTTAAAGGGTACTTCTTGATTTAAATTGTATTACATATCAATATGTTTTCAAAATGATGTCCATAAAGTAACATTTATTTTCTTGCAGAAACGTTTGGTTAAAAGGCCAAATAGTGCACCAGAATTGTCCTCATACAGAGACAAAACACTTATAAAGATTTCTTCAAGTTTCAAAACTCTTATGGAAGAGCTTGATATCATGAGCAAGCATGTTCCTTTAACAATACCTAATGCTGCAGTATCAGAACCTGAAACTTCTCTAGAAAAGCATACTTTTGCTGCTAACCTTTCAGGAATTAATTTTCACTCTTCAAAAGCACCTGTAGATCCAGAGAAAGATTCTGGTGAAACAGTTATGGGAAATACGCTAAAAATTCCTAAAGGAAATCTTTTTGAACCAGAGCCTGCTGAAGGTCTCCTAGATCAGACTGCTCTTGCTGATGAATGTCGAAAAGCTGGAATTAAGTACATCATTTTCCCAAAGAAAAAAAAAAGATCAACGAAAGTAGGGAAAAGTATTACTCCCAAAGTATTGGATAGTATATTTGAAAAATTAAATCAACCTCCAAGGATTCTTAAAAGGTTGTAAATTTAATAACAATTTTATTATGTATTTATTTAGATAGTTGGATAGGACAGATGTAAGGCACAGATCTGTTGGTTAAAGATGTTTGGATTGGGTAAGATGTCTGAAGGCTGTCTATATGAAAATAATTACTACTGATAGCTGGACTAGCACAAGATTGTATTAATTGCTATGGAGCTGCAAACTCTGTTTGTGCACCCAAAAGTAACCAAGATCCAGATCCTCAGCTTTGTCAATGTGAGGGGTGGTAGTCAAAACAAAGCTGACAGTGAAATCAGCAGGAAAAAACATTTTTTAAAGCTATTTCTAAAGGCACCTATTCTTTCTGTTGCAGAAAGCCTTTAGTTTTTTGGTCAAATAATCCTCATTTCACGAGCATTAGCATTGCAACAGCAAATATCTCCTTCCTATTGGTGTAAGCCAAGCTTAATTTTGCCACAGTGAAGGAATTAAATATTTATAAGCATTGCTAGGTTTGTGATAACTCTTTTTTACAAGCCACCATTTGGGAGAAAATGCTAAACTATATGTAGACATCTTATATTCCTCCAGGTCTCCTTAGTATGTTTCTGGCAGTTACTCATTTCTTTGAGTGATCAGTCAGATTCTCCATCGTTTGCAGAGAATAGTCACATCTCTGCTTGTGCCAGGGTCAGCCCTGAGGAAAATAACCCAGTATGATTTCAAAAAACCTGACTACTTGATTGCAACTACGGAAAAAGAAAAAAAAAGTGTTCCCAATTTTGGCTCAGGCAGATTTCTCTCCATGCTGGTCACCTTCAACTCTGCTACTGCAAGTCTTGCTATAGATGGACACTCCTATTTATCTTACCAGTTCTTACTGGCTCCTCTTGAGGTATGATAGATGATCTTGCCAGAGAAAATTCATGGCGAATTCTCATTAAACAATTATCTGAATCATTGGAATAGTAAAAACTCTGATCTTCTTTTGGGCCATTTCAAGATCATTATATTTGCATTTGGTCATCTCATATCCAATCTATGTCTGCAGTCTTTTTCCAATTCCACTAACGCAATGCTGGCCTGCTTTTTAGGACAAATAATTGGATTTCTCAGCATCAGTTTTTCATAGTTCTGATCAGTGGATCATATTGCTTGGAACACTCTAATATACAGTGAGGCAAACCATTATATATATATTCACCTTCTATATTGTTTTGGAATTCTGTCACCTGTCATGTTTTGGATTAACTTCAGGGCAGGTTTTTTATTTATTATTATTATTATTTTAGGATTGTTTCTCTCCTGCTGTTTCTCTCCTAGTGTTCTCCTCCTAGAACATTAGTTCTAGACTAGCATGTCCCTTTTCTCAAAATTCCTTCCTCTCCATCAGGTTGCATCTACTGAGGCAATTTGTCAGGGACCACGTTGCAATTCAACTAACTTAGATATCATGTGATTTTTAATAAGTCTAGCAGTAGTTGAAAAATAATATATTGATATCCATCTAAGAAAATATGTAGGGAATTCCATTTAAAAAAAATAATATGAACTTGTCAAAGGCCTTCTCATCATATAATGAAATTAATTCTGTGCAATTTTAATTATTTTGTGTATTTGTTAGCGGATTAAGCGCATATTATATGAAGCTTGTCTAAGTTGTGGAAAGCTAATATCAGGATAATATCTGAAAAAAAAAAGACGTAATATTTTTGCTAGAATAGCTCTTAATATTTTGGTAACTACATGAATTAATGATTAATGGCACATTGATTGGCATCTTTTGGAGAAGAATTATTATCCCATTTGATAGAAGTCAAAAGATAAGCAGTTTGTTTTTCAATGAGAAGCAGCATGATTTGCATAGGTATTAAATATAGTTCTTAATACAAAAACAGAGTCATGGTGTTGTTCATTGCTCTGGATTGCTGTGCCTTACTATACTGTATTTGACTCATACTAGGATTAAGGCTAGAACTGAGGACTTTCTTTTGTATGAAAATGGTTTATTCAGCAACAGGAATAAAGTGTCATAAAGCAATGCAAAAATGTGAACTGCACAACTGTATTTTATCTCCTCTTCCTCCTGTCCAAGATTCCACTCAGATGTTGTTCCCTGTATTTCAAGCAGAAGGCATACCAAAAGCATACTTGGGGTCATTAGTCAGACACTGGTACCACCAACACACACAGCACAGCATAGCTGTAGGCATTAGCCTCAAAACTCCAAGCAGCACCTTTGAACTTGATAGTCCCCCATATAAGCCACTCAGGGCCTGGTTCTATGGTGTGGGACTCTTCCGTAACTTAATGATTTGACTTTCTGTAAATAATTATTGTTACTATTCGTAAAATTCTTAGTTAAACCCATACCAAGCCATGTTATTGGTTCTAGAAATCTTCGGAGTTATATTGATAGGTTTCTTTCCTTCTAGAAAAAAGGGGATTGAAAACACACCTCCAGAAGACCGCCAGCTTCTTTTCGAGGAATTTTGCCATCCTTAAGATGATGCCCCAGACCTATTGGACCTTTGTTGTCTGAACAATTTTTTGAACCATTTTCATTTCAAAATTCTTAAGAATTAATTTCCATTCTTCTCCTCTTGCAGAAAGGGATTAGCTCATAACTATAAATTTGTAGATGATTTGTAGAATGGATAACTTCATATATCTGAAGTTATGAGTTTTGGTAGCGCAGTGGTTAGAATGCAGTACTGCAGTCTACTTCTGATTGCTGGCTGCCAGCAATTTGAATCTCATCAGGCTCAAGGTTGACTCAGCCTTCCATCCTTCCGCAATGGGTAAAATGAGGACCCAGATTGTTGGGGACAATATGTTGACTCTATAAACTGCTTAGGGAGGGCTGTAAAAACCCTATGAAGCAGTATATACACTGTAAGTCTAAGTGTTATTGCTATCTATACTATACTTTCATACTTTTTCTTCATTTTATACTGTAACTGATGGATCCATGCACAAATGTTGGCCTCTCCACATCCCTGGGAATTTTCTTTAAATCTGCACTACATATTGTTTTGTTCCTTTTCCTCCAAGCTATCATTTCCTTTCATACCCAGCTTTATCTAGCCAGCTGGCTTTTAACTACTTATTACTGACTGATCTGGCTACATAGTACAAGACTTCTATTCCAACAGTTTCTTGATCTCTGAACGAGACCGTCTCTTCCTTTCAGTTTATCCAGTCTGTAGGAGCAATGATATTAGGGATGTACATTGTTAACTGCTGCTGCAATTCTGTAAATGTCAGGTGCTTGCACATAAGATTTCCTCTCTGCCACTGGCCCATGTGATTTTACCTTGTCTGTTTATGGACATGTATACTAGATAGTTCTTGCTCTGGTTATGCCCTGGTTCAAGGAATTCTTCCATTAATAAAAATAAGATAGTTCCTTCATGCTTTCTTTCTCAATAGATATCCTCACCATTAATGCCTGACTCAGGGGCCTCTGTCACTTCACCTGAACTGGCATTATATACAGCAGACAAGTTCTTTAAGCATAGGAAATGCATTCAGGCCTCTTCTACTATGAAAGGGAAGTTTGAATGAAAATATATGTGCAAAAATAAAAGCGCTGTTCAAGCTATATGGGATTGCCTTTGTAGGGGTAAAATGAATCTTTTATTTTACAGGATCATCCTTCTAGTTCCCTGAGAGAGATACTATTTCAAGTTTCCCTTTGAACTTGCAAAATAGATTGTATGATCTCCATCAGAAATCAATTATTTGTGAGGTGTATGCCATTCTACATAATTACAAAGTTATATACTTCCATACTAATGGACAATTCTACTTGTGTTTCCATTAGAAATTTTCTTACTATAACTTTAATATTATGTACTTAATCTGGGTAGTCCTGTGGCATCTTAAATCTGTTTTAAGGTTGAGGTAGTATAAAGTGATAAATACATAAATAACAAGCTATTAAATGTTGCAGTTTATATCATTTATTTCAGTAATCTGTCATTACCTCAGTTATACATTGATTGTAATTTTGCTTCTCCTTTTTAGGTCTGTGTCTCTGACTCTTCAGAAGCTTAAGATGCATAATAAACACTCTATTCAAATATCTCGAGCAATTAAACTTTATAGAAGCCCCAGCATCCCTTGTTTGTTAAACTTTGAAACATTTGCCAAAAAACAGGGTAAAGGATCTGAAGATTCTGATTATCTTTGGGCCAGGCTATTGTGGAATAAATGGTTTGAGGAGCTGTTTGTTCCCGCTAACAAACCTGCTGAAGATAAACAGATGTTAGGCAAACATGTTTTGGCACAGGAAATGGAGGATGCTGCAAAAGAAAAAGAACTACCAAACTATGTGAATCCTTTTCTATTTGATGGAAAAAAAGAAGAACTTGAACAGTGTGAGCATGAGATTGAGAGAATAACCCAAGAGATAAATAAAGGATGCGCTACAGCGTTTAACTATTGTCGTCGTGGAGCAATATACAGAAAGATTGGAAAAATGCAGTCAGCTTTGGATGACTTAGAAAAAGTTCGTTTAAAACAAATATTTTGTTCATAAATTTTACTTAATTTATTGTATAGCTAAAGATTTCCAAGGGTGCCTCTTCCTCTTCCTTCTGGTATTCACTTTTCAAAAGAAAACCTTCCAGTTTTTAACATTACCTATTTTTGTATTCTAAACTGTTTAGCAGATAATGTCATAGTGTTTCCACATATATTTGCTTTCATGTGCACATATTATGTGTACATATACAATCATTAAAAGGGAGGTTGACGAGACATAAGCAAGAAAACAAATCTAGAGCTCTGAAAAGGTGTTTCCCTTTAAGATTTTCTGATTTTTTGCAGATTTTGTCATTGAACAGTATCAGCATATTGCCTCACATGCAGATATTTTAAAAAATGATATCTGAGGGATACCAAATATAGTACCAAACTTTGGATTTGTTGTATTTAATTCACAGCATCATTCAACATGTGATATACCAGTGTGAAACAGCAATCATCCCTCATTCGATAATTTAAAAGTTAAAGTAGTGAGGGCCAATTATGCAAATACTTAATTAAACAGGACTTATTTGAACAGTTCTGAACTATGTCAGCCTAGTAACTTTGACTTATCACAGTAGCTACTCATCATATAGAATCTGGAAGTATGTTCTTATGTCTCACCCAAATTTCTGAAAACTTCCATTAAAAAAAACATTGATGCTTATTTCCCTGGAAAATGCTACAAAACAATTTCTAAAGCTTTGCAGTTTTATCAATTCATAGTTGGAGATATAGTCATGAATAATTTGAGACAACAGATCTTCCCAAGAGTGATATCCTGTCAAAAAATCCTCCAAGAGTATAGCATAAAATCATCCTAGAAGTACCTCCTGTCAGCCTTACTGGGTAGAAAAAATAAAACCCAGATAAGCTAATTCTGCTTTATTGTAATATTTCATTAACAGAATCTTTCAAGTTTGAAAGTACAGTTCTGCTGCCATCTCCTTTACAGGTCAAGAAACTAAGGGTGATCCTTTTTGAGCCTCTTGCCCCATCTTCTATCCAGCTGCAAACTATGTCTGACCATTACTTAGGCAGCACCTCTTTGCCCCCTCTTCCAAGATCTTTCCTACATACCACGACACTTCTACCCCTCTCTAAATAACCTGTAGATCTTTCTCATCTTGTCTAAAGTTAATTTTTACGATTCCATATCAGAAAAGCACATAGGAGCGCAACAAGAAAGAAAATATTGCTCATAACAATGATGCTCATCTCAAGTTTGCCAAAAAGCACCAAGATGTTGATGCAGACTTTTGGAGGAATGTTATATGGATAGATGAGTCAAAAGTAATTTTTTAAAAAAACTACATTAGTATTACTGCATTTGGCAAAATCTAAACACTGTGCTCCACAGTAAGAACTTCATGCCAGTTTGTAAGCATGAATGCAGCAAAGTAATGATCTGAGGATTCCTCAGTTGCCTCGGGACTGGGACAAGTTGCTATTATGAAGGAAAAAGGAATACTGCTGGGTATTAGTGAATTCTCCAAAAATAACGAATTAACTGTGTTGGAATGACCATGTCAAAGTCCAGAGAATGTCAGAGAAATGGTGTTAGAATCTGAAATGACCAGTTTGTGCTAGGAAATCTTCATATGTTACTGAGTTGACGCAGTTTACCATGGATGGATGGGCCAGAATTTCTATATAGTGGTGTATGAGGCTAATTGTTAAATAGAGGTAGGAATTTGGCTGCCGTTATTCCAACTATAAATGATTCAGTCATTTATTGAATCTAAGCTGGGGATGATTACTTTTCACATTGCTACATCACACTTTGGTTTAATAATCTAGACTTACTTTATATATCAGTGAGACTCAGATGCAACTCTTACAACATTCTGTGGCAAAGATACAAAAAATTCAGACAATCCAAAAGGGAATAATAATTTTTCATAGAACAGTCATATAATTATTTTAGTATAAATGATAAAAATATTTAATTCAAGTTAGGGATTGTCTGACTCCACATTTCTCTGGGTAGTTCATAAATAACATAAAAACCAACACACAAACAAAAAAAGATGGGATCCAGGCACAATATACAGGCAAAACATAAATAACAATTGCCCTCAGCAGATTAATATCTGGTGGTGGTACTGAATAGAAATATATTAGATCAACAGCACTCAAATTTGGATCAAGACCTTATGAAGTTCAGACCAAAGGAAGTGAGAAAGGGTGGTGATGGTAAATAAGTAAATAAAATACAATAAGCATAGAACAGATGAGAACTTGAATGCCAGGTAATAATAACAAGACAACTTTTCAAAGTGATCATGAAGATACTTCATCATGGGCAGAGAACAAGAGAAATGTGAAACTACGAGCATTTCTTGAACATAGAAATTGTCTTTCTTAGAGCAGAAGGGAAAAGAGGAAAGATTTTTTTTTTCATCCTGACTAGATGTGATCATGTTCTCAATTCTCAAGGGTAGTCTACTTCAGGGGAGTTAAGAGTCAATAAATTCTGGTATAATGGAAGTCTTTTAAATAAAGCCTTTTCAAGAAAGGTTGAAAGACTGCAAATAGCAATTTATCATGTTCTGAAGACAGGTTGCTTGTTGATGCTATTGACTAGGTGATCAGAGGTATTTTTTACGTATTGATGGTATACATGAGTTGCATATATGATTCTGTTAATTCAGTACGCAGTTTAACAATAACACATTTCATTTGGTTAAACAATTTCTTGATTAGAATATATACAAGATATATGGGTAAATATTTCAGAATGTGCTGTATTACCATGACCCTTATTTAATATATTTTCATAAATAAAGATGACTATTACCAGCAGAGTAGAACAGGATGAAAATAATTCCTTTAGAAACACACAGTATCCCGAAGAATTGATCTATGTAAGTAATGCAAAGGAGGATTATTAATAAATGGGTATTATTGCTGCTACATGTAATGTAGAAGGCAAGTACAGAATTTGTATCTTGAAATATTTTTATTGTAAATATAGTTTGAAATAATAATCCAAACAAAGATGAGATGGATAGACTACACTATGTTGATGAAGACTCATAGTCACTTATTGAGATTATTTTATAAGAAATAAGGCTGCTAATAATATATATTTCAATTGGCCTTGAACATTCTTTAATTACCAAAGTGCAGTCAGGTCATATGTTAGAAGACATAAGTTACATTTTCTATAGAAATATGCCTTACATTTAACTAAACTGATAGTATTTTATGTGTGGCAGATATAGTGTATAATTATTTACCACAACTATTTCCATATTCTCTCTTCTCTGGGGCTGTAAAACCAATTATTCCAGAATCTTTCTCAATTCTGTGACTACGGCCTCGTATATTATATTAGAAACTATAACATAAAGATAATCTCTTCAATGATTTTCAGGTTTTCAGGGACCAGCTCTTGTGGCATTTTGGCTGCTCCATCTGCATTGCTCCAAACAAGTACCTTTTCAGCTTCTACCAGATTTCAGTAGTACACAAATGCTAATAGCAAGTGAAGCTGGGTAATGTGGAGGTTTCTCTGATGCAAAATCCAGCTGCAAACATTGTTTGAAAGGAGGATACTGTACTGAAGATTGTTGTTATGTAATGTCTCACAGAACCTGGCAGAGATCCTGGGAAATCAGGCAGAGGAGGGAACAAGTCCATTGCAAAAGAGACACTTCAACCCAAGGGAGCAGGGAAACATGAAAAAGACACTCAGAGCACACACACCTTTGATTATGTTGAGTGGGAGAATTACTTTGACAGGTTTTCAAGGTGATGTTATACCTTGAAAACTACTAGAAACTACTAGAAATAAATATTTTCTCAGAAATCCAAATGATTCTTGTATCAGGAGTTGGCCAGCCTTGCATGACTTGGTATTAATTTTGAGAACCTCTCCGTGTATGGAGATTCTCAGTCATCCAGGTACTGGTTGTCCAAAGGTGCTTTTTCAAGAGGCAACTGGCCTTGATTTTCTTTGAAGACATTTCACTTCTCATCCAAGAAGCCTCTTCAGCTCTCATCTAGCTCTCATCCAGAGCTGAAGAAGGTTCTTGGATGAAAAGTGAAACATCTTCAAAGAAAAACAAAGTTCAGTTGCCTCTTGAAAAAGCGGGATTTGAGAATCTCTCATATCAATTTTCCTGTTCAGGTAGTTTAAATCTAGAATAATTAATCTGAAGTTGCTTGGAATCTCTTTCTCCTGCTTTCCCACTTCCCTGGGTTGTGATATCACTTTTGCAATGATCCTGTTTCCTATTCTACTTTCCCAGGGTATGTTAAGCACTCCATCATAGTTGCATATAAACTGGTAGAAACGTTTGAAGAAAGTGTCTATATTAAGAATATTTACATTGAAGCCTGTGCCAGGGAATTTATGACATGGAATAAATGTGTAATAATTTGCATGAGAAAAGATAATGAGCAATTAGATGAAGATATATAAAAGACACCATATGATAAGAATACAAACACAAACTGATTTTCCCCTCTGTGGAACTAATAATATTTAAATAATATTTCTCATTAGGTCAGTATTTATAATATTTTTTTCTACAGTATTGAAGTGTAGAAATAGTGGAGAAATAAAATTTTCTGATTAATTATGCCATTATCTTTGTAGGCGATACATTTGGAACCATTTCTGGCTAATGCTTATTGGCACAGACACTTAATATTTGTTTACCAAAACAAAACTCTTCCAGCTCTAGAAGATTTGAATTTTATAATTAAACGCAATGTAACCTATACAGGTAAGTGTCTTTGAAGTCCTGTCGTCAGTACCAAAATACGTTGCATATAGTGTGATATTGACTATACATGAATCATATATAATTACTGAGTGAGTTAGACTACTGTTTAACGTTTTGGTTAGTCAAATATTTGTGAATTATTTTCTAGATGTGATCATGATAACAGTGATAATTTAGATCATGGGTGGCCAGCCTTTTGGCTTGCCACTTGGCTGCACTGAATGAAGAATTGTCTAGGGCTACATCTAAATGTGTATGTGTGTGTGTATGGATAATATATATACGCACACACACACATATAAAATGGGTGACCAACCTATCGGCTTGCCCTGGGTGTACTGAATGAAAATAGTCTTGGGCTACATCTAAAGATAGATGGATGGATGGATGGATGGATGGATGGATGGATGGATGGATGGATAGAGTGTGTGTGTGTGTGTGTGTGTATGATAGATATAGATACATAGATATATATCGATATATCGATATATAGATTAGACATATAGATATTTAGATATATCTATATCTATATGTCTATACATTTGGCAGAATGAACAAAGCAAAGTTTACCCCTAACGTCAGTGACTGTTGGTGGCCCCTCACTCACTCTCAGCCCAGGACACCGCACAGGATTGTTGTTGTGGGGGAAGTAGGAGGAAGAAGAAGTATTAGGTATGTTCACTGCCTTGAGCTACTTATAAGATAATAAAGGTGGGATTAAAAATCTAATAAATAAATCATCCAATTTCCTATGAAAATTTAAGATTAATTACATTTAACTGAAATTATTTTAAAAAGTGCACATGAATGGTATTAAATTCTATTAATATTTAAGATATTTTTCTCCTATTTTGAACTTGTAGATGCTTATTTGTCGAGAGCTCAGATATATAGAAAACAGGGAAAAAATCACTTGGCAATGATAAATTATACTTTGGCACTGAGATATAGACCCACAGATCCTGAAATATATTACAAGAGAGGTGAAATCCATGAAGAAGAGGGTGAGTTAATACTGGCAATGGAAGATTATTCAAAGGTATGCATTATTATCTTTAATTTCATTATATATTGACCAGCTCTTAAATAATTGCATGATTAAATCTATGCACCAAAAGAATTAAAAGAGCAATTTTTAAAAAAGTCAACAGTGGTCATAATAACTCTGAAACCCAGGTAATTTTTAATTTACCGTATTTTCCGGCGTATAAGATGACTTTTTAACACAGGAAAATCATCTCAAAAGTCGGGGGTCGTCTTATACGCCGGGTACCCGAATCTGAGTTGCTGGCACTGACCGATGATGCTACGGGAGCACTGACAACATTGAGGGGGAGCTGTACTCCGAATTAGTTCCAACCTATAAGAGGTGCCAGGCAGTGTGCGGCCCCCAAGAAAGGAATGCTTCCCCACTCTACCCTGGAATTCGGGTCACCTTCCTTCCTTTCCCAGCGGTCCACGGTGAAAGCGGCGCCGCGGTCAACCTGGGCCAGCGCCTTGCACACCTGGCTCTGCGTCTCCATGATGAGAAGCTCCATGCGACTTCGCATGTCTCCGCGCCGGTCGTGCAGCTCTTGCAATCCGCTCACCGGAGGAGCCATGAAGCTCTCGCACAGTCTTGCCAGATCTTCCTCGTCCTCCTTTCCCCACGGCTTTTCCGGTTGTAATTGCTGCTGTTGTTGCTGCCGCCGCCGAGGCTACTCCTTCATCTCTGTCCGCCGCACCAGACCCAGTCCGGCCAGCACCACCGTGGCTCCCGCAGTCCAAACGAACGCCGATCGCTGCCACCCACCATCGCCCCAATGGGAAGAACCGCCCGGCGGCAATTCCAAGGAGCCCGAAGCGAACATCCTGGAGCAGTGCGGGCTGGCCCGGAGGCTTAAACCCCGGGCGCCCAGGTGCCGAATCCCGCACAGCAGAAAAGACATGACAGCCGGTGCCCAGTTCCTTCTGCAGCCGTCTGGATCGGCACCAAGCCAGGAAAGTGCGCTGCGAACTCCCACCCTTCACCTGCGAGCCTGGAAGAGTGGGGAAATGCAGAGCAATACCTCGTGGGGAAGGAGTACAGTTTCATTGGCAATCCTGCCCATCCCTAACATTGCATTTAGACTACAACTCCCAGCAGCGCCTGTGGGAGAAAAGGGACGTAGAAGTAAGAAGGGGCACAGCTTCCCCTCAATGTTGTCGGCGCTCCCGTCGCGTCATCAATCAGCGCCAGCAACTCAGATTCGGGAAGCAGTGCCGATCTAGTCAAGGCTGCATGCTGCTGATGAACCCCCACTGATGGCGAGCCCCACCAGCATTCAGCAGCATGCAGCCTTGACTAGATCGGCACAGCTTCCGGAATCTGAGTTGCTGGCGCTGACTGATGACGCGACGGGAGCGCCGACAACATAGAAAACAAACAGCATGGCAGTTCCCATGGGTTTATTGTCTTATCCTTCCTTTCAGCTTTAGAGTGAATTAGCAAAAGTTTAATCCAATTGCACTGTTTTATGTTTACATGTTTGATGACAAACAGCCTTATGTTTATAAGTGACAGTTTTCCTGCTAAGTACCTGCATGTCATAAGCATTTGAATTAAAATTACCATATTGAAATCAAATCTGATGTTTTTTAATTTTTATTTGGTGTGCATTGGAAAAGGGGTAGTCTTATACGGCGAGTATAGCCCAAACCCTATATTTTAACAGGAAAAGTAGGGGGTCGTCTTATACGCCCAGTCGTCTTATACGCCGGAAAATACAGTAATTTGTATTAAAGCATGGTGGTCTGCTGTTTAAAGAAAACAGTAGAAATAAATAAATAGTTATAAAATTACAATAGTAATAAAATAAAAATAATTAAAAATAACAAATAAATTAACATGAATACTAAAACAAACAAAAAATTCAAAGGCCAACTCAATGGACCACTGGGTCTTTTTCTGCCATTGGGTTTCTATGATTCTAAACAAAACCAAAGCTGGATAATTTTCAGTGTGTCTATGTCTGCAAGTTTTAAAAATTTAATAAAGAAAACAAATGGATAAAGAATTGGTTTCAGATTGTTCCTTAATCCCGAAACATTGATTATATGAAAATAATAAATACTACTCTAATAATATTACAAATAACAACAGCAACAATAATAATAGTTGTATCAATCTTTTGGGGGTCAACATGAACCACTTTGGGAAACCTTGGTATATGAAACCCTGAGAGCTCCATCCAGGTACAGTCATGTGCAAAAGTAAGTATGCCCTCTTTGACTTATTTGGTTTTATGTATCAGAACATTATAAAAATCATCTGGTCTTTAGCAGTTCTTAAAAGTCGGTAAATGCCACCTCAGATAAACAATTCATGACATATATTACACGGTGTCATCATTTCTTTTGCAAAAAGTAAGCCAAAATGGGGAAGCCATGTATTGTTGTTCATCATACCTCCTTTTAAGAACTGCTAAGGACCAGAAGATTTTTACTATGTTCTGATACGTAGAAACATAAAACTCAAAGAGGATGTACTTACTTTTGCACATAACTGTATGTATAGATTGGGGGAGGAGCTGCACAGGCAGATGAAGCCATTCACCCACACCCCGATGACTAAAACCCAGGCCTCCATCCACTTTTATCAGTTTTCCTACAACAAAAGAGGAAGCAATGAAGCTTCCTTCATATTAGCAAACCTGCTTTAGATGGCTGGGTTCCTATTCCTATATGATAGTGAAAAGCTAGTTGAGGGTACCTCTGGTGGTGAGGGAAGCACTGTAGCTTCCACTTTTCTTCTAGTAACTTTCAAGAACTCGGCAGTCTCTTCCCTATTCTCCCAAGTAGCTCCTTGATCAATTGGCTTTGGAGTGTTCTTGCAATAGCGTTCCTCAGCTGCTGAACAATCAAATGATCAATAGGCTGCCATCACCTGCTGGAGACCACAAGGGGTAGTTCGGCACCTGCAGGCAACTGCTGAGGCCGGAGCTTATCCAAACTTGTTATATTCTGAACAAAGTAAATTATTCAAAAGCACTGTAAATGTCAGCATTGCAATATTGTTATAATGCAATTTTATGTGTTTATGTTCAGAAGTAAAAAGTCCCAATACACACAGGGATTTGCTGGCAAGAAAATATGAACAGTATCAACGCCTCTGCTATTTCAGGCAGAAAACAAATCAAAAACTTAGAAGCTGATCCAATGATTTATTACCTTTTAAAATGACTGTTATTTGCATTGTTTAGAATTCTGATGAATATTAAAATAAGGTTAAACTTTATCAAGCGTTGTATGTATTTTTAAAATCAATGTAGTGCCTTTACTATGATCCCCAAAGAATTGATGCACGTATGAAACATGGAGTATATTATTTCAACAAATTAAATTGGAATGTAGCTATGCATGATTTTACAACTGTGATTAAAAAAGATCCAAAACATGCAGAGGCAAGGTAAGGACAAATTGTATTTTATTTGAAATATTGTAGTCTATTTCTAAACTAATCTACAGATATCTAATACAATGTCCTATTTCATTATTTGTAAGCATCTACAATTAACTCCATCCTCTTCATCTCTGCAAGCTTAAGGACCTGTAAACTAGGTTTAAAGACATTTTTATTTGACTAGCAGGTTAGTGAAGGGCTTACACTATATCCTGTATAAATGATATAAAACAAAGATGAAGTTTATTTTGTGGCAGATACGTTTCACTATTTTTAAAGCTATGAACATATATAGAAACCTCAATTAGTATTGTGGACTTCATTGAAGATGTTGGATTACTAATAAATCCCTGCCTAAGCTTGCATCCTCTCTTAATGAAAAATAAATAAGTAAATGAGATGAGAAAGTTCAGAGAAAGCTTCTCAATCATCTAAGATTCTATTTCAATCCTCTGAATTTTTCATCTATTTTGACTCCCAAAATAAATTAATCTTGTCCTGTACTACTTTATTCAATGGAGTAGGAGCTGTGTTACAAAATGAACCCTTAAGAAGATCTATTGAATATTCCTCCTGGTCATTAAAAGAAGCCCTTGGGAATACTCCTAATTGAGGGAAAAATAATCTAACTACTTCGTAAGTCTTTGATTTAAGGAAAATGAAGGTATTCTTAACAAGATAGAAGCCTGAAAACAGTTGAAACTTAATTTAGCAACCCCTAAACATGGCACTACTAAGTAATTTGCTAAGGAAATTTACCATTTCTGGTAATTTCTGTGAAACAGAAATAATGCCTTTGCTGAAGTATTTGAAATAAGTTAACAATTCCCAAATGAGAATATGGAATAGGCATGGTAGTAGCCTATTAAGAAAAATACAATGGACTGTAAAGGGCAGATAAAAATTGAATGGTAAAGATCTTCCTATGTTTTTGGGTGAGGTGTGGATGAAATAAGGAGGATTTTGTGGAGCATGTGAGTATGGGAATGGCAAATTTTAGAATGTCTTGAATGAAAGTTTGAGCCGACAATTACTTATTATTGTAAAGTTAAACTTATCTGGTGACTTGGAAATATGAAATATCAGTATAAGCTATATCAGCAGTCATTGGACACACAAGTATATTTCATATTGTGTGTGTGTGTGTGTGTGTGTGTGTGTGTGTGTGTGTGTGTGTATTTCGGGTCTTCCGGGTGCGATTCAAGGTGTTGGTTACCACCTTTAAAGCGCTCCATGGCATAGGACCCGGGTACCTCCGAGACCGACTTCTGCCACCAATAGCCTCCCACCGACCAGTCCGCTCCCACAGAGAGGGTCTCCTCCGGGTGCCATCAGCCAAGTTATGTCGGCTGGCGACACCCAGGGGGAGGGCCTTCTCTGTGGGAGCCCCAGCCCTGTGGAATGAACTGCCCCCCGAAATACGAAAGATTTCCGACCTCCGGGTGTTTCGCTGCGCTCTGAAGACCCTGTTGTTCCGCCAGGCAGGGCTATTAACATAACGTTTTAAATTGGGGTATTTTAAATTTCTGGGATTTTAATTGGAGCCTAATTATTTAATGATTTTAAATTTTAAATTGTTGTCGTGTTTTTTGTGTTTTTAAATAGGCTGTACACCGCCCTGAGTCCTTCGGGAGAAGGGCGGTATAGAAATAAAATTATTTATTTATTTATTTATTTTATTTTAACTATAAGTATATTCCTAGTACGATTTGATATCTCATTAGTAACCTTGACTATCACTAAGTGTTGTATCTTTTTATTCTTGATGAATGTATTTTATTTCTTTCATGGAAGTGACTGGGACAGCTGTTGTTTCTTTTATACCTTAATTATATAAGAAGCATTTGGGTGAAAATGTTCCTTCTAGCTTTTTAGGTTATATCTTACCTTCCCACCTTTCTATCATTCTGCAAGAGCCTGAAGACCTGGCTGTGCCAGGTGGCCTGGGGACCAGATGGGGAAATTCCACACTGGTTGCTGGATTGATAGCAAACTCCACCTATTCTCCTTGCTCTCTGTTCTCCATCTATCCATCTTTTTGTTATAATATTGAGATATTCTCATGTTCTTTTTCATTGTTTATTTTATTGTTCTATTATTGTATTCCTGTTCTATTTACACTCTTTTCATTTCTTCCTTTTTATTGTTGTAAGCCGCCTAGAGTAACCTCACGGCCAGATAGGTGGCAAATGAATTTAACAAATACATATAACAAATAAAAATATATAAAAGTTATATTTAATTAAAAATATAACTAAATATAAATATAAATTTATAAACAATATAATTTATATATTTAACAATTTAATTCTTGCAGAAATACATAATTGTTTTGTCAGATCAGATACTTGTTAAAATACTGCTGTCTTTTTAAAGTTGTAAGTATAATGACTTGGAAATAATGATGCAACTTTCTTTCTAGAACCTACAGAGCAAGAATATACATTAAGCAAGAGCAATATAAAAATGCAGCTGAAGATTTAGCTGCTGCAATTCATTTGAATCCCTGTAACTGGATTGCATTCTATTACAGAGGTTGCATTTTGAGGAAAATTGATCCGAAACAGTCTCTACAGGACTTAAGTGTTTCTGGTATTAGTACTTTAATTTTCATGAAAATATGAATTGCATTTATGAAAAAAAAATGTTTCAATGAATTTGTTTTCTATAATTGTGAGAAAAATATTGTATGCATTTTGAAAAATATATTTTTGCTTTTATATGCAATTCTGAACTGAAATTACAGAACTCCTAATTATCTATATCTTGTCTATCTAATTATTCGTAATAGTTGCCTGTTTCTTTACATGATCCCATATATTATTTATTTAAATGAAAGTAATACTAACATGTATCATTTTTTATGCAGTTTGTCTGAAATATATACTGAATTGGTATACACTTTCATATGAGAGCCAGTTAATATGATGTTTTAACCGTTGATATGAGGGCCAATTTGGTGAGTTCTAGTTCAGCCTAAGGCACAAAGCCAGCTGCATGATTTGGTCCAGTCTCTCTCTCTCTCTCTCTCTCAGTCCTAGAGGTAATGGTAAACCATCAAAGCAGGCAACTGGAAACCACTTCTGAAATCTTGCTAAGAAAACCACAAGGACTTGTCCAGACAATGGGCAGGAGTCAACCTTTACTTGAAGCCACACACATAAAAGCTGATAATTCAGTTTTCCCCAAACATAACTATCTTACATGAACATATCCAAGAAAAATTGGTTTATACAAAGCCAAAACCTAGTTTGCTGCCATAGTGGCGATCATTCAGGTATTTCAGGATATTTCATTTTTTACAAATCTGTGACGGTTTCTTTTACCTTTCTAATAGTCACACAAAGCTGAATTTAAAGGTACATTTAACAGGTGAAAATTTAGGATATTCTTCTTCTTCTCTTCCAGTCCTTCTCAATCACAGTTTTGACAATATTGGTGCTTACCTTCATCGTGGCATCTTGTATGCAGAATTGAAACAGTGGCCCCTGGCTATCTGTGATTTTGAAAATGCAATTGCTTTGGACAGGTATTTTTTACTGGCTTGCTCCCTTTTCTTAATTACTTACTTTTTAATGTAGCATTTAGTCATACAAACTAGTTGCAAAAACAACATATGCCACAATAATTTAATGCACTAAATATCTTTCACAAACAGCCATCAGAAACATTAGTTTTTTTCTACAAATTTAGGAGTGCAGAAGGAGGTAGTATCCTCTAATATAGTATCACTTATAATTCTTGAAATTACAGGAATATTGTTATGGTAACCTCATAAAATTAGTCTAGTATTCTTTTCTATTTTATCAGGTACATGCCTAACCCAGGAAATTTTGCCATTTTCTATTGCAAATGGTGTTATGTTGGTTTTATCTCCAATAAAACTCCTTTGACTATAAATTTATTTTTTACAATAGCAGACACAATGTTTTTCTTGTTCTTCAGGAATAAGGGTGAAAATGAAAGGAGGTAACATTGGTTTTGTGACATAAACACTTTTTGTAAAACTTACATATCTGTGCTTGAAGACAGTAAATTCTATGAAATGACTTGCTGCAAAATGTAATATTTATACAATTTTGTCTTTGTATTAGGAGTCTTACAACACCTTATATAAACATTGGATTGATTATGATGTTGCATTCGGATCAGTATTTTGATGCTATTCTACGGTTCACTGAAGCCATTCGGGTTGATCCATTAGATGTTAGACCTTATTTGTGCAGAGCACAAGCTTACCAAAAGGTATCTATTTTACGTATTTAAGAATTAGGAATATTTATTCCAAAACAGCCATTTGTCTGCTTGTTTACCATGGAATAATGAGAGATGTTTGATTCAGGGTTTTTGTCTTTCTGAATTGTTTATGAACTCATCTAGTTTTAAAATTATATAACTGAAATGGAACAGGCCTTCAGTTTTCTCATAAAAAGATAGGCAGCTGCATTCAATTTCTATTACAGAGTCCAAATATTATTCAATAATTATATTCCATGATCTCTTTAACAATTTCTCCTAGTTTGCCTATGCTTTCTCTGTTGGTCTTTGTCTAATTGCAAACCTGAGGACCAGAATTCTAGCATCCAAGTTATTGTCTTGCTTCTTGTGGCAAACCACTATGAGTTTGCACTAGTTTCCTCATTTTGCCAACTTTATTGCTACCTCCTGGTTACACTGAACTTATAATTTGACTAAAGATTTCCAACACCATTGACAAAAAAGATTGATATGAACATATTATGTTCAAACAAAAATAGAATTAAGAAGGAATAGTAATTGGAGAAGACTATTTCCTAGAGAGGGAGGAGAAGGGCATTTTTGTTATTAGGCAATGATGCTGATGATGTATCTGCAAGTAATCCAAGCCAATATTTTCTCCATCCCTAACTGAGGAACTTGTTCTACAAAGTGGGCCCTTATCCAAATTAGATCCTCTACCTTTTCTTTTCTCCTCTGTGCATCATTATTCAAATATTGTGCCATCTTCATAGTAATCCAGGTTTTGTGATAATATTCTGTTTTACTAACCTCTTCTTGAAAATACATTCTGTATGTATTGCAGTATCAGATCAGTGGTATAATCAACTACATACTAAGGGAAAATGGGAAACTGAACAGTCACAGTTTTAGGGAAGAGGGATTTTAAAATTTAATCTAGTTTGAAGAAAGCCAGTTTAGTGTAGTTCTGAAGATTAGAAAGGGGAAGTGTGAAATCCAATCCCACTTTAGGCATGAAACCAGTTGAGTGATCTTGGGCCAGCCATTCTCTCTCAGCCCTAGGAAGGAGGCAATGGCTAATGACTTTTACAACATTGCCAAAAAACCTGCAGGGACTAGTTTAGGCAATTGCCAGGAGTCAAGACTGACTGGAAAGTACTAAAGAAAAGGAGGGTGTGTGTGATCTAGTTTGATCCTAAATGTTGAAAAAGGAAAAAATACTTGTTTTTAAACAGAATATACTTCATGTCCCACTTAATGTCTCAGCATCCATGACAGAAATAAAAATGTCTTTTTTTAAAAAAAAAAAAACAGGTTCATGATTTAAAGAATTCAGTTAAAGACATAAATAGAGCCATTCATCTCCATCCCAACTTACCACATTTATTCTTAACAAGGTAAGCACTTATCGTGATAATAATGCAAATAATGCAAATTTCTCGAGCACCTTGCTTAATTTTTTTTCTCACTTTTAAATGTCCATATAATTGTAGTAATGTATATTATTAAATCTTAAATTCAAGATTTTTTTTTCATTTGCAGTATAAAAATACATTTTCAGTGTATGATAGCAAAGGCAAAAGATGGAAAATCAGGTTGCCTCTCACATCTTTCTCATCTTTATGCAGTTTCCTGATTGGAGCTCAAACATTACAGGGTCAATGAACAGATTGTAGGTCTTCAAAAAGTGATTATCTCCTTAGAAAAGTGCTCAATAATTATGTGCCATAGAAATATTAATAATGAATTAAGAATGCTATTTAAGTTAAGTGTTTTTTAGATGAGAAGTTTTGGAGTGGATAGAGCATGAAATCAATACCTGTTGTGCAGTTCTTTAAAGAAGCTATAACATTTGTTGGGATTATGTAACTGCTGTTTGGAGCTGGTAGTGTTCCCAGCTTCTTTAAAGAATTGTAGAGAAGATCTGCATTTATATTTCATGAAGCATCTGTCAGGGTTCTAAGTAACACCCCCAACCAAGTAAGACTCTGAGGCAATCAATTCCTCAAAAATCCATTTTATTGGAGATGTCATATTGGCACATCTAGGAAAACCTGAATCTGAAAGCTCCCAGGTTTTCCCCACCCAAAAGAAAGTCAAAGTCCCTTCCCCTGTACCCACATGTCCATCACATTGTCCAATCAATCCACTGTCCCAACTGGAAATGTCTCCCAGTCACGCCACTCCAAGTGCAGGCTGAACGTCCTTGACTCTCAGAAAAAAGGTTAATGATTTCTAGGAACTGGAAGATACGAGGTGATTGTTGTTTGGAAGAATGGTATAAGGAAGTATGGGATATTGTCATAAATGATAAACTGATTTGTAATATTAAAGTAAGGAGGGGCATAATGAAAGTAAATGAATTCAATGGAATCTGGAAACAGTTCCTAATATATGTGTTTTCGGGAGGAAGGGGGATACCACCACCAGAAGAAGCTTTAAGATTTTGGAAGCAGGAATGATCCCGAGGGGTGGGGGAGCACTTGTTGATTGTTTGTATTGTGTATATTGTTATATATTATATATTATGATTTATGTATGTTAATAAAATCAGTAAAAAATTATTTAATTTTTTTTTAAAAAAAGTAAAAAAATGTTTAAAAATGTTTAAAAAAAGAAGAAAAAAGAATGTTGTTAGGACTAAATAACTCTACCAACTCAATACAACCCCCCTCCCACTTTCTCACAGCACTAATTGTGGCAACCCTGAAGATCCAAAAGAAAAGATGGCCTCCAGGTCTGACAGCATCTCTTTGAAATGGAGTCTAAAACTCTGTGCAGTCACAATAGTTGACTATAATAATTGTATAGTTGAATAGTTCTTAGGGTGTATAAATTGGGAAAAAATAAAGTTTGACAAAAATTAATTTGGGTAAATAAATTTCTGTGTAAGCTAAAAACAAATTAAATTTGATCATTAAAATCAATAGAATTAATTAAGTATTTATTAAATTGATATGCCACTTCTGAAAAAGTAAAAAAAAAATATCTTAAGTAAATGAACTATTTTTGATGTGTCATTAAATGTCTGACTCGGGAAAAAGGTGAATGTTTTGGGTTTTTTTTGTAATTATATTTAATAGAGCATTTCATACCATAAAGGTGATTTAAATGAATTTCGGAAATACTAAAAATGTTTTCTTATTTCTATAGAGGAGTTCCACTGGGAGAAAGGGATACAGCTAGCCTTCATGTCGCTATAACTGTCCATGATCATAGGGTTAGCATAGAATCTTCCTCCTTTTGTGTTAGGACTTGAAAAAAATGTGGTGAGCGCCTGGGATTTAGTTTTTTAAAACTGTAGGCTTCCCACTAAAACCAATAATGAATTAAATAGAATACTTGAATTTTGGAATGTCTAATATTAATATATATATTTAATATGTTCACAAATATAGTGAGGAATTTGTTGAAATATTTTATTACAGGGGACAGTATTTACTACAAATGAAGCATTTTCAACTTGCAAGTTTCTGTATACACCAAGTGGCAGAAATGGACAAAGGTACAGCTCTTTCAAAGTACTGTGCAATTTTGGTTAGATTCAGCATGTTTGTTTGTTTTTTTGCTTTTGTTTTTGTATAGTACAGGAGTCTCTAGACCTGGCACCTTTAAGACTTGTGGACTTCAACTCCCAGAATTCCTCAGTCAGCCATGACTTACTAGATCCACTTAATTGATAATAATTTTTTGAGATACCATGGCCAGCTATATAAACAACACATACTTCAAGTTCTGTGGCTCTCTGGATTCTTATTTATTTATTATTTATTTATTTATTATTTAAATTTCTATACCGCCCTTCTCCAGAATAGGACTCAGGGCGGTGAACAGCCAGAATAAAAAACAATACATACAAAATTTAAAAACAATTTAAAATAATTAAATATTATTGGCCGTAAGTTAAAATAACCCAATTTAAAATCAATTTAAAATTAACTCAATTTAAAATTCTATCCATCATTTACAATTTAACAATACTATGTAAAATACAAGATAGTGTTAGTGTTATAATTGATATGCCATACTTTTTTGTTTTGATAATTTCTCAATGAAGGCCAACACTCTTTCTTTCCATTGTCTGTATACCAAAGTCTGTAGTAATAATAACTTGGTCTATGACTATTGTATTTATTATTATTTAAATCTCCTACAGGATCTCTTGGATGTTCACTTGTTCAAGAAGCACTTGTGCAGTCGTTTTGTCAAAACTATAACAAGGCTATTGAATGTGCAATTGCAGCCACGAAAAACCAACCTGAGCCTGCTATATATTGTCTACTTGGAAAAATCCAGATGAAAGCCAAAAAATTCAAGGTTAAGAAAACAGTCATGTTCATGAGTTTTTCAAAAATCTTTTAAAAAGGCAAACCCCTAAAGAATGAGTGTTGTAGAAATACTGTTCGTTAAAATGGGATTTGATTAATATTTGCTTCTTTCTGCAGCTCTAATTATCTATTTCCAAATATTTTATTTTTCTGTTTTGATGGTAACACAGAGCACTTTATTAATTAAGCTGACATCCCTTTTGTTGAGTAGTTTCTGGTTTCATTATATATTATGTTTAAAAATTGAGCCCATCATCTCTATTGGAACATAAGTAATCACCTATCCCGTCCTTCTTCCTCTGTTGCTGTGAATAGTCAAGGATGTATGTACAAACTCTATCCAAGCAAAAGAAAAATTCCCCCTTTAAATCGCCTTCTGCTAGTTTCCTATTCTTCTTTTTTTTTGCTGCAGCCATGGTGGTATTTCACCTTTGGCTATGTGAGAAGTCACAGGAAAAGGGAAAGAAACATTTATCTTCCTCTCCTGATACATTTATTTATTTATTTCTTCAACTTGCATGGCTGCCTAACTCAAAGTAAGTATGGGAAATGTAAAAATAAATGAAAAACAATCATACAAACCCACAACACAGATTGAAATAGCAGCACAGATGGCAGCTGAAGACAGCAACCAATATACTATATAGATGGGCTCATTTAGCACTTTAGCCCAATGCCCAAATAGCAGTCAGGTCTTCAGAATCTTACCAAAGGTCAATAGATCATAATATTCATTTGGGGCCAAACTCTTCCACTGGGCAGGTGTCACAACAAGAAGCATATTTTCTAAGTCCCACCAAATGGCATAGCTTGAACTTGAGCTTGGATTTAGAACATGCCAACTCCAGTATCCGGCTTGGACAAAATTCAGTCCATACTTTCTTTGAACTGTGCAAATCAGGCAATCAGAAATGTTCTGCATCAACATTCACTTTTTTTTCAAAGAAATATTCCTAGAGTCTAAAATGTAATTAGGTTTTTGATTTTATCCAAAGTTATATTTTTGTTTTCTTGGATATGATTTGGTACCTTCTATTTCTACCCTTTCTCTAATAAATCATCTTTATAAATTCTGACATATGACTTTGTAAGTTTGGAAAGCTCCATTTCACTGAACATTTTTTCAACTATAAAATTTGTATGCTACCCTTGTGTTCTAGAGATAGCTCACTAAGTTCTATGGGAACTGGGACATTCTGACTTTGGGAAAATTAATACGAAAGCCATAATTTTTCCTATAACTGAGCATGAGGGAGTGTAAAATGTACATACAATAAGGCAACTTATATCTAGCAGAACGTTCAAGGAGCATTTTATACTAATCGCATTCTAGTTTTACAAAAAGGTCTCTCAAGTGAAATTAAAATTTCACATACTATTTGAGTTATAGACAGTCCTCAACTTATGGCCACAATTGGATCCAAATTTCCAGTGTAAGTTGTTATTGTTGTAAGTCGAGGAATCCCCCCTCCCAATGGATCTGATTTTATGACATTTTTTGTGTTGCTCATTAGGCAAATCCATGACCATCAAGTAAATACCTAAGTGTGAATTCCTTCTTCTGTATGAGCACTTTTGCCTGAAAACTGGTAAAAAAATTGCAAACCACAGTCAGGTGACTGTGGAGCACTATAACTAGTTGTAAAGGCAGGCCAATTGTCAGGTGCCCAAAATGCATTATGTCAATATGGGGGGAGGGGTGGCACAACATTTTACAATGGCCAGAAATGCTTTATGGCCCATAAAACATCTGTTCTGACCCTGTTGTAATTTCAAATGGTTGTTAGCCGACCTGAGGATGATTCGAACAATATTGTTTGTTAACATTTTGTACAATATATGTGCCCCATTGCTCTTCAGTGATGAACATGTTACATGGTATACCATATTTATCTTCTGTATTGGGATCTGAAATGATGCAACAAGCAAAGAGGCAAGAAACCTAACAGGCCATTGGCAAGGAGCTAACTTTGGGCTTCTGCTATTCATAATATATATATTTATAGCCATTATTTTTGTTGAAAGAGGCCAGAGTAATTTGGAAGACCAAGGATAATTAAATCTTATATGATGGACCATAAGCCAACTGTAGGAGTATAGATAATCCTCAATTTACAACAATTCATTTAGTGACCATTCAGAGATACAACAGCACTGAAAAAGTGACTTATGACCATTTTTCACACTTACAACTATTGCAGCATCCCCATGGTCACATGATCAAAATTCAGATGTTTGGCAACTGATTCATCTTTATGAGCCATGGTGGCACAATGGTTAGAGTGCAATACTGCAGGCTACTTCTGCTGACTGCAATTTGGCAGTTCAAATCTCACCAGGCTCAAGGTTCACCATCCTTCCATCCTTCTGAGGTGGGTAAAATGAGGACTCAAATTGTTGGGGGCAATATGCTGACTCTGTAAAGCGCTTAGAGAGGGCAGTAAAGCACTGTAATGCAGTATATAAGTCTAAATGCTATTGCTATTGCTATGATGCTTGTGGTATCCCAGGGTCATGTGATCACCTTTTGCAACCTTCTGACAAGCAGTCAATGGAGTATCCAGATTCACTTAACAATTGTGTTACTAACTTAACAATTGCAGTGATTCACTTAACAAATGTGGCAAGAAGGATCATAAAATGGGGCAAAACTCGCGTAACAAATGTCTTGCTTAGCAACAGAAATGTTGGGCTCAATTTTGGTCTTAAGTTGAGGACTGACTGTACAAAGTTGGCCCAATAGATATCCCAAGTATTTGGTTAAAAGCAAGGGTCCCCAATTCTTCAGTTCATCAACCCCTCCATGAAGTTTCAGACAATCTATAGATTCCCAAACATTTATTATATGAAAATTATTTAATAAATACTACTTTAACTAATAGTACTACAAACAATAACAACAATAATGACTTCATAAAAATAGGTAATATTTAAAGTATAGAAATATAAGATTTAATATACCTTTATTACTGAAACTGTTGGCCTCATTAATGGGAAGGATGCATCACCTGAGCATCAACAAGGGCACTGATGCTTGATTGGAAAATGAGGAGATTGGAAATATGCTCTGTAAGGGAGGTGAACAGGAATACTATATGTACATGTATCTTTCCCAGGAGAGAGGCTATGAGAGAGACAAGGGGGAGAATGGAAGGCACACAGACACACAACACAAAACAAATGGATAAATGAGGCCAGCTGATAGAGATCATTCAAGGTGACTCTTGCTGGTGGCTGGGTTACTCTGGGTTACTTGCTGCTAGCCCTGTCACTTTCAGGACTAGGGACTTGCATGGAGCCTTGGGTTACTCCAACTCTGGGTTACTCGCTGCTAGCTCTGTCACTTTCAGGACTAGGGACTTGCATGGAGCTGTACAGAGACCCCAAAGATAAATGGATTTGAACTGACCTTCCATCATTTATTGACCACCTATAAAGCCTAGATATTTACTGACCTCCCATTGATGCTCAGCCGTCTATCAACGCCATGGGTGCTTAGTCCCATCAACACTTTGGGATTGATACTAACCCCTTTGGGGAATCCTGTTAATGATGTTGGCTTCTGTTTGCAATCTCTTTGTCATATGCTGCTTTTTCCTGTCTTACATCCTAGCAAAAAAAGATTAATGGTATAGCTCTGGACAATGCCATTTGGCTGGTGGCACTATCAGTTAACTATATGCTACCTTTTTTTTACAGGATGCTCTTTCCAGTTTTAATGAAGGTTTGGTGCTGCTAGGTGGCATTGAAAAATATCTTCCTAATACCTTTGAGGCTGCAGAATTATATTTTTTAATGGGCGAGTGCTACATGGAGCAAGTTTTTCTAATAGAGGTATGCATTTTGACTTTAACCTGGCTCAAAATAAAAATCAGAACATTCCAAGAATTGCATGGGCGTCCAATTAATCCCCTACCTATATTTACAAACTGGCAATTATGATCATTAACAGCATGAAGTAGTAAGATCAGGCTGGCTAAAGAACTGTTTTTTCAAACATGATATTCCCACTATTTGCTCTAATGTCTAATGAACCAAGGAAGGAGTGTTTTAAAGGATGTTTTTCAGATTTGGAAAAAACTCACTTAACCCCACTTTTGTCAATTTGCTTCAGTTGGCAGATTTCCTTCTCTTGAAGCCAGCTTTTGATCTGGCAATTTAAACTTAGTTTTGTCCCTGAGTAGAATTTAATTGCTATACTACTCTTAATTTACTACATGGTTACTATTATTACTTCCTATTAAATATTATACAATATATCATTGATTTTTAGTTCAGCATATTTCAGAAGATCTTCATTATTATTTGCTACCTTAAGCATATTCGTTTATTTGTTACTTTAAGCATCGTGTCTGGAAAGGTCAGCATTATTATTATTATTTTATTAAAAAAGGATCACAGTTTGGCACTGTTACTTCCTCTCAAATCTCCTTTCAAAGATTATCTGCTTGATTGTGTGTGAGAGACAATGATTATATATTCCTTTTATTTGTTTCTTATATATTCCAATTTTATAGAAAAAAACCTGTTAGGTGATTATCTATTTGTTAGAAGATCATTCTGGACATTGAATGAACATTGAAGAACATTCAATTAAAGAAATACACTGGGCAAGCTCCCTAAAAAGAAAGCTATTTTATCTGATAGCATAGAGCTACTTGAGGTAGCTACAATTTGGGGTGCTGAGGCTGGTAATATTTATAGGAAAGGCGATCTTTTGTGAAGTGTTGGGTGAATGTGCTCTTTAAAGCATTTGTTTTGGTAGACATGTAGCCCTAGTAGGGAGATCTAACTTTGTGAATGTACAGATCTTTCCCTTGGTGTATGGTTATGGGCTAATTATAGGTGCTTCATTTGTGTGTTTAGGAAAACTCTGTATCTTTAAAGGAATTGTCTTGTTTGCTATTCTTTATGAAGTTCAATATGCCTGTCAATTATTAGGTTGAAAGAGGTTAAGCATGCAATCTTCACAACATTGTATTGTCTTTGTTTGTAACATAGCTTCTTCTGATTTCCTTACTTGCAAGTCATATTAATAATTGAAAGGAATGTCAGAAGGCAATGCAGGAATAAAATTAATCCTGAATTAAAATTTCTTCCTACATACTCATGGAAGAACGTCTACAATCTCAATTTTAAAGTTGCTTTAATAAAATATATCAATTGTCAATTATCAGTCTTTGTAATAGCTTTATATCAATAGAGAGGCAAGACCAGAAAAATCTGATTCTATAAAGTCTAGATTCAATTAATTGTTTATGAGCTATGTAAATCTCAATTTGGAAAAGAAAGAGAAAATCATGTAATCTTAGTAGTTCAGTAACTATTCCTTTCTTTATTTATCTTTAATTTGACTTTGATATACAGATATACATATTTTGCAAAAAGTCAATAAGTCACTTATTTAAGTGTTTTTCTTTTATATACACACACACAACACACATTTATATTATTTAGATATCTCTGGGTAGTCCTCAGTTAATGACTGTTTGAACTTACAACAGGATTGAAAAAGTAGCTTTATGACCAGTTCTTGAACTTACAACCACCACAGCATGATCATGTCCTAACCATTCAGTCGCATTTCAACTTGCATGCATTTATGATGGTTGTTAAGTGAGGACTATATATATTCTCAACTCAATGTATATTACTCAAACAGTAATATACATTATTATAGTAATAAATTTACATTGTTATATTGATTATTTTTTATATAATATCACAGTTTTAAAATACTTTTAAGTTTTCTCAGAAGATTTTTTTTTTAAAAAATTGGCATTGGAACTAAAATACCAATTTGTTTTTTACAACTGAAATAAAAATGAAATATGAAAAACAGAGGAAATTTTCTCTACATTTTCGTATTTTATTTATTTTGTAGAAGCATGATTCAATTAAACCTAATGTTGAATCATTTTAGGCCTGCGATGCTTTTACTTCTGCTGTCAGACTTTATCCACGATATGCAGATGCATTTTACCAGCGAGGGCTTTGTAGAATGCAGCTCCAACAAGCTAAATGCATCTTAGATTTTAACAAAACACTTGCTATTATACCAAGGCATTTTCAGGTAAGAAAGATGATTTTGTATTTCTGAAGATTTAAAAATAATCTTTAATAATAAAGTTTTAAAAATAAAGGCTTAAAAATACACCTGAAACAATCTTGCTGTTTATTAATTGACTAAAAATGGAACATTTAATTTTTTGGAAATCCAGCTCAACTGTTGAGAGTAAGATGGTCTTGACAAGATAGGCAGGATATGTTATGAAACACATCAAGGACAAACGGAAAATACGCAGAAGAGACTCAGATAGACAACTTAATTTACAAAGTTATATGAAGGGAGGGGGGCACAATCAAACTTGCAAGATTTTTTTAATTGTAGCCACTCTTAAAAAAAATAGTCATGGCCTTCCTGTGGAATTGATTCTTCACCTGATCTATTAAGTGGGGCAGGCATCAATTAATTTGGTTCAGAATTCAGATCATTTCTTTTTGTATACATAGCTAAACTTCGAATGCTAAATACATTTGTTTAAATGCTGTCAAGATGTCCACAATGGGAGGCAAAAAAGTCAAGATATCCACTAAGGGGTTTTAAACAGGCAAAGTGACACATACAGATCCATGATGCAAGCCCTCTTCCTTATATACTGTATGCATGTGAAATTCCAGATCCCAAATCAGCGAACATTAGTACACAACAGTTTACTTAGGGTACACAATAGAATAACCATTATAATTACAGATATGATGTGCAAAATAAGGCACAACAGGGAAGGTTATACAAAAATTAGGAACAGGCTATTGCTGTCCTCTATAATTTGCAGATATAGAAGCAAATTGGAAATAAGCATGTATGACCAAGGACAAGGCTACACTTGCCTAAATTCACTGTTGTCTGTTCCCAACTAGATATTCAAGTAACATGATATACCATTTGTAACTATCATGATAATTTGCTTGCTGGCTTGCTTGAAAAATTGGCATCAAATGTAAATTGGGATCAGTGGTACATCCTGTATATTCCTAAGGATTAAAGCAATTCATGGAAAATATGCTTGGAATCTGCCTTGTTAACTATCATTGATTTTTTTTTTTACCAATGTGCATATCTACACTAGCAGATGTATGAAGACTTGATATATGGAGAGTCAGAAGACTCTTCTGGGATTTAGGGGCAAAGACCCATCTTTCAGAACAAGAGAGAAGTGCCTGTAATGTATTTATTATGGATTAAGAGATAGCATACAAATGATAATTATATGTAGGCTTTGACATTTTTGTATTCCAGTTAGCAGTCTTATTGGAAGTAATACATAATTTAAGGGGAAAGAGAAAGTCTTCAGGGTGTGTGTGTGTCAGAGAGAGAGAGAGAGAGAGAGAGAGAGAGAGAGAGAGAGAGAGAGAGAGAGAGAGAGAGAGAGAGAGAGGGAGAGAGAGAGAGAGAGAGAATGTTTTATTCCTATTTATAAATATTTGAAGCTTCAAACCTATGTAAGACAACATTGAAGTCTCGACATTTCCTCCCTTTTGTGTTCTGCAGTGAGTTTGTTGTTTTTTTCTGTTAAGGCTTACTTAAGTCGTGCTGCTTACTACGGTAGCAAAGGAAGATACTCGAAAGCAATAATGAATTGCACTGAAGCCCTCAAAATTGAGCGACGTAGTGTGAGAGGGTATCTTTACAGAGGAGTACTGAAATTTTACAACAGGGTAAATATTCTTACATTACTAGTGTCTTAATTTGGGATATATAAGTGAAGGCTTTGCAGTTGTCTTATGAGTACAGAAGAATATTTGAACATCAGAGCTGCTTAGTAGCTGTGTAATCTTAATCACTTTCACAAGAATGCAAAATCTTGATTCATAGACCAATAATGAAATTAGTTTTAACAAAACTTGACTTCTGTATTGTACAATGATGGTTGTTAGATGGAAAAGCATGCATACACACCAAGAGAAGGTAGAGAAAGGCAAGTGCTGGAAAAATCAGAGCTGTGGGTAAGTAGACTGCTTGGATCTGCTGTACGTCACCTGAAGATTTTGAGAAAAGAAAAGAAAAGTGCTAAAGAAGAGAAGTGAGGGCACAACCCATCACCTTTTCCTTGTTCACCCCCATTGTTTCTGTTTTGTACACAGCCCTCACAAAGATATGTACCTTATTCTATGTAAAATAAATAATAATGCTATGACTAACTATTATGTCATTTTTTATAGACTTACAAGCATGCTGTTGAAGATTTAACTAAAGCTATACAATTGGATAAGATGTGCACTTTGGCATATTATAACAGAGCAATTGCATTCCAACATTTGAAGGACTATGAATGTGTATGGTTTGTTTCTTCTTAAACAGTGGTTTGTTATTAAGTTGTTTTGGTACTGGATGTCTACTTCCAAACCTGCTTTCCTGTCCTGCCCAGATTTTATAGCAGATTTAGCGACAGGGTTTGACTCGTGCAAACTTCTATGGCTTATTCCAACTGCTTTTTTCTTTCTTTCCACAAATAGTGTTATTATTACATTGAAAGGAATACAGATTTTAATCAGCTCAAGATTCTGGCTTTTTTTTTTGAAATAGGAAATAATTTCATACTTTACAAAAGTTATCTATGCTTTTTATTTCACCAATTCACAGATGACTTTGTGGATTCTGTTTATTTGTTTTAGAGTTTGATGGATTATAAGACTGTTCTTCAACTTGAACCAAGCAAGGACATTGTCTTGAAAGTGCTGAAAAATCGTGCTCTAATTTTTATAGAAACAAAACACTATGAATATGCACTAAAGGTATTTTCCCTAATATTATAGATATGTTTGTTTCTACATTGTAGATTGGATTTGTTTGAAAAATATTTTGTAATCTCTAGTAGGAAAAATGATAAAAGAAACAAAACAATACTGCGTACAGACATGGTTAAACTGTTCATATACATTTAGAAATGTAGCTAACAATAACAAAGGAATTTATTAACAAATAGTTAATTTGCAATAAAGAAATATGCAATTCTTCTATTATCATCAATGTTTAAAATTAATTTGTCCAAAATGTATTGAATGGATATTATTGTTAAATTTTAGACCCTGTAGGTGCATGCATTTACTAGAGAATCACATGTGTAATATCCATTTTGTATATATTACTTGATTTGTACTCTGTGAGGTATATTACTGTATCTCACATATTACATCTTAAGGATGCTCACAATATAAAAGTTAGATAATGAAAAGGAAAAAAAGGAAAGCAATCATTACTTGAAGAAATTAACATTTTTTTCCTCACCTATTCAGTAGTGGCTTTTAGAGTATAGGTTACTCTACATAGATGGCTATCAATTTTATTGTTTTTGCTGAAAAACAGTATGGCTAAACTTCTGAAAACCAGTATATTTAATGTAACACTTTTTAACGAAAGTGTCTTTCTGGGTTTCTAGGACTTTGCAGAAGTGGCAATAACTGAACAAAAAAACGCAGGATTTTTGAATGCTATTGGACTTTGCTATCACAGGTAATCTTAAACACTGCTGCGTAAGATTTAGGAACATGTGTTTGATTCTCTTGTGTTATGGAGGATTTCTATGTAGCAGATGTGGAGAAAGGAAGGCAACAGTGGTGACCCAAGGCATTTTATTTTTTGGAACAACAGCCAAATGCCTTACTCCCCAATTCTGAAATAGAATAAGCATTTCTAAAAACCATGTGGCATAATTCAGTCAAACATTCAATTTCTGTTTTCATCAATTTCTCTCCTCTGCAGGACAGGGCAACCTCAGACATGAGGCAACTTTCAGTCTATTGCTTGATTGTATTGACTGGTGGCTCAGTGGCTAAGACGCTGATCTTGTCGATCGAAAGGTCGGCAGTTCAGCAGTTCGAATCCTTAGGGCTGTATAATGGGGTGAGCTCCCATTACTTGTCCCAGTTTCTGCCAACCTAGCAGTTCAAAAGCACGTAAAAAATGCAAGTAGAAAAATAGGGACCACCTTTGGTGGGAAGGTTACAGCGTTCCTTGTGCCTTTGGCGTTTAGTCATGTCGGTCACATGATCATGGAGTGCTGGCTCTTCGACTTTGAAACAAAGATGAGCACTGCCACCTAGAGACGGGAATGACTATCACATATGTGGGAGGGGAACCTTTATCTTTATTGATTTACCACTTCTATCTCTCCTATTAGCTAAGTAGTTAGCATGCAATCTGGGATTGACAGCTGTTATATTGAAAAATATCTGGAAGTCACTAGACCGGGGAAGGCCGATTAAAGAGAAAGGCCTATTCTGTTCTCCAGAAGCCAGATGTGATTTCTTAATCCATTTTCACTATTTGGTTCAATTTCTAACAGTTATTTGGAAACAGCATTCCTAAAGGGTAGTACAGTAGGAAATCAGCATGTTTCTTATATATCTTTTTATGCTATATTTTGAGAAATTGAGTAGTGCACTTTTTCCCCAAGGTACTTATGTTATTGTATTTCTCAGTACTTGATAATGATAACATCATCTCATTTATTGTGAATCTTCTTTCTACAAAAACAAGAACAAAAGTACATTTGCTACGAAAATTGTTCGGTTTATGTTTTAATCATGTTCTGATTTTTAAGTTCACCTGTAAAACACTAGGTTGAGGAGGTTTGATTTACAGAGAACATGTAGAATATAATAGAATGAGTAAATGCATGTAAAATCATATCATCTTTCATAGATTCATTCATTCATTCATTTTTGTAATAGCCACCCAACTTTAATGGACTTTGAGGAGTGTTCAAAGCCAAAAAGCAGTAAAAGCAATTAAAAACAAAACAAAACAAAAACCAACAGCCTGGATTGAAATGATAATATGGGAAACAAAACCCACACTATTTCATTGACAGAGTTAATTTGAGGTTATATCTTTAAAATCTATCTATCTATCTATCTATCTATCTATCTATCTATCTATCTATCTCTTGATAAAAATATATGCATTTTGTAGGATGCACATTAGGAAGCAAAGTGAGAAAGTCTTTAAAAACCATATTTATAAGGGGAAACATTCACTATTATTTCCTAATAATAAACAAGCTACATTCCAGTTTAAAGTAGGAGGCGCCTAATGAAGTGTCCTCTTTCAGGAAGGCTGTGGATTAGCTTTGCTACTGATCTCATCTCCTTCTGATGCATGAGAGCTGAAAAAAGGAGCTTGATGATAATAAACCAATAAACCAAGGATAGTGGGGAAAGCGGCTATAATTATATTTAACTTCTGTTTTCTTCACTCCTGCATGTTTCCTTGTTCAAATATGCACATCTCAATATTGTTGTTGTTGTTAGTTGCAAAGTCATGTCCAACCCATTGTGACCCCATGGACAACGTTCCTCCAGGCCTTCCTGTCCTCTACCATCCTTTGGAGTCCATTTAAGCTCATGCCGACTGCTTCAGTGATTCCATCCAGCCACCTTGTTCTCTGTCGTCCCCTTCTTCTTTTGCCCTCAATTTTCCCCAACATTAGGCTCTTCTCCAGTGACTCCTTCCTTCTTATTAGGTAGCCAAAATATTTGAGTTTCATCTTCAGGATCTGACCTTCTAAAGAGCAGCCAGGGTTGATCTCCTCTAGGACTGACCGGTTTGTTCACCTTGCAGTCCAAGGGACTCACAGGAGTCTTCTCCAGCACCAAAGTTCAAAGGCCTCAATTCTTTAGCGCTCAGCCTTTCTTATGGTCCAACATCTCAATATACAAAATATCATAATCACTGTTAAAGCATTAACATTTAAATGACCATTGATTTCAGACTTCAGAAATATGAAGAAGCTGTGGAATCATTTTCTAAAGTTCTTAAACTCAACCCCTTTTGTTTGGATGCCTACATTGGTCGAGGAAATGCATACCTGGAATATGGTCATAGCAAAGGCACCAGACAAGCCCTAAAGGATTTCTTGACAGCAGTACATATCAATCCAGTGTGCATAAAGGCTAGACTTTGCTTAGGATACAGCTTGCAGGTAATATATTTATTTCTGTGTCATCATACTGTCTTTCTGAAAACAAAACAAAGCAAAAATAATAATTGCTGTTTGACAAGCAGTAATTTAGACTTCATTAGAAGAGTTCCATGGTTATTACTTTATTTTATTCAGTTAGTTCAGATCAGGGGTGAAATTCAAAATTTTTCCCTACCGGTTCTGTGGGCGTGACTTGGTGGGCCTGGCAAGTGTGAAGTTTCCGAAAGATGCCCTAATTAAATCATGAGCCTCGATCCAAGTTTCAAAAGAAATCCAGTCATTTATTGGGAGCACCATTCTGGCAATTACTCAAATGGAGTCAGTTCTAACCCCCCACGTGATTTTCGGGCCCCTATGACCCTGTTCCTCCCTTCCTCCCTGGACATGTCATAAATCACGTTCTCCAATGGACCACATTGGCGGGCTGATATTGCAAAATTTCCATTCCCGCCCCACTCTGGGCCAGCCAGAGGTGGTATTTGCCGGTTCTCCAAACTACTCAAAATTTCCACTACCGGTTCTCCAGAACCTGTTAGAACCTGCTGGATTTCACCCCTTGTTCAGATCTCTATTAATTAATGAGAGTAAAGTGATATCTTCTGCTGTATAAATTAGTCAATGCTTTTGTTTTTGGTCTTAATGAAATATGAACATAAACAGTTTTAACCTCAGAAAAAATGTCTTCCTTGGAAATTATCCCTAGTAAACAGAAAATATTTATTCCTCACTTTATATCTCTTTCTATGCTGTTTGAAATAAATGTGAGTGAAAAGTTGAATTATTTCCATGTGAAGTTCATTCAGAAACAAGAAGTGGTGTGACCTTTTATCAGCATGGGGGGAAAAAAACAGAATTCCCACATTCAGGTAGACCTTGCTTAAAAATGTCATGTTTCAGCAACTGTTCAGTATGATATACTGAAAAAGTAATTGTATAAGTATTTCTCTCATTTATGACCATGACACATCCCCACAAATATGTGATTGAAGAATTGAGGTACTTTGCAACCAGTGGGCATTTATATTTGTCACAGAATCACATGGTATTGTGTTGTTTGTGCAGTTCACAGCTGACTTCTGATTAAAATGTCCGTGTTGTGGTCATATAATGTCTCCTTTAACAACCATATGGAAATGATGTTGTAAGTTCATTGCAGTCCCATGATATTTCACTTAGTGACCATGTCACTTAGCAATGGAGTTGGTTGACCTCCACTAAGTGAGGTCTATCTATATAGCCTCTTCGTTTCTTCCCTGGCTTTCAAAAGACATTTCTTCTGCTGATTAGGTAAAGCAAATGAGGAGGAAAAAGCAGGCAAACTTTGTAAAGCTGTGGGACATTATTACAGGGCAGGGATGGGTAACTACAACTCACCAACTGCAGACTTTATATTAACTGACAGACCAATAGTTTCCCTTCACATTCAGATAATTTTGCTATATTGCTATTACATTTTGCATAATTGTGATTCTCTCTACATAACATTTTGAATTACTGTAGTACTTAGTACATTTTAATCCAATTAGATCATATTTATACAATACTGAGAGTTAAGTTGAGATGAAAAAAGTGCTTGAAATTACAGTTTTCTAGGCTCCAGAATTGATAAAAATGGCAGGTGTGCAAAAGTGATTTAGAGAAGACTAACAAAGGGCAAAAAGGCATAGAGAGGTCTGGATAAGCTGATAGAAAACCCAGATGTTTCAAGTAAGACAAATTTAGAAAGATCATCTCAGTGTATTCTCTGTTATGATATATGGATGTGAGGAATGGATTCTGCACAGACATAAAGAAGATTGACTTCTTTGTGCTATAGGGTTGAAGAAATTTGTATCACATTCCTTGGACAAACCAAGAAAATGAACTATTCAGTAAGACAAGAAATAAAGCTAAAATATTCTTTAGAAGTAAAGATCATGAAGCAAACTCTTTGAATACATATGAAAGGCTGATAGAAACAATAATCATGCTGGGCAAGATAGATGAAAGTAGAATAACAGGCTGATAGCAGATGAGATGAGGTACTGGAGTTACAGAAATGGCACCTGCAAGAATTGCATAATGTGGCAAAAGGCAGGACAGTTTGGAGAGCTTTTATCCAAAGAGTCACCAGGAGTCAGCAATGACTCAACAGAGCATAACAATACAAGGATTAAGCCCTGTTAATGAAGATGCCCAAGCAGGCAGAAATCCTTTACACTTAATACAAAGTAAAGCAATGCAAATCCTTGAAGGGTATGCTTCATTAAAAAAAAGCTTTGATGAAATAACTCTATTAGGACAATTTGCATATTCAAGTGGAGACCCACTTCAGTGCAGTGAATTGAAACAGGTGACTGCAAAAACACTTTGCAGCATTTCAAAAAGCATTGCCAATTTAATTAGTTTTCTACTGCTTCTGAAATTGTTACATTTGGTTATGTTTCATATATGGAAAACTCTGGAGAGGGAAGAAGTTGAGTAATATGTTGGCTTTTTGATTTAAGGCTGAAATAAATCAGATTATTAGCTGAAGATGTTACAAAGAAATATTTGTATGGCGTCAGCATATTAATAGTACTCAGTTACAAAGCTTTTTCAAACATTAGTAGTAGAGTGGAATATAGAGGCATGCCATAGAATAATCTTATTTCAAGGAGCAACAGTCTTCAAGTGGTGTCATTCAGAATTTAGTTTATAGATAGAGTGGAAAAATTGCAAAGAAGTGCCATCCATTCCCAGTTTTTCTAGATGATCCATAAATATATCATGATTGATTATATTGAAAACACTAAGTTAACAGCAATTTACAGAATTATATGCTTATAATTATATGTAAGTATCTAAAAAATCACCCATTAGACCAGCAAAGGCAGTCTCAATCTCATAGTCTGCTTTTAAACGGTTTGAAATGGGCCAAAATATCTGCTTTCATGAGAACTATCTACAACTGAGAGCCTACACCATTTTGATCCCTTCAACCAATGTTGAAAGATTAATTTGGCCTATAATTGCCCTTCTTTGAGTGATCTAATTCAGGCTTCTTTAAAAGAGTTGTTTCTAATTGCCTCCCTTCAACCTTGATGAAGATAAATTGCCTTTTATCTTCCTTTAGAATTGTCTTTTATCTGTAATAAACTAAAACCTATAAGCAAGTTGGGTAAAAATTGAGTGGACATGTAGTAGAACCTATCATTCCAATTAGCTTATCCCTATAAAAGGATGTAATAAAATATTTCCAAAAAAATCTGAATTATAACAGAACAATTCCCCAAAGTTCTGTAGCAGAATGATAGGAGCAGTGCAAGTCACCCCCCCACCCCAATCTGAAACAACTCAGCAAGCTGCAAAGCAATAGATGTAGAAAAAAACCCTAATTTTTGCTGCATATATATTCATAGTATAACCCAACCAAGGGATAGTTCATAATGGAGAAATGTGGTCACTAGGAATCAAAGATGACTTGATGGCATATTACCAAGTAATCAATCAATCCTTACCCATCAAGTGGGCTTTATATCTTTTTTCTGGGTTTGAGTTACCATAAATCTTCCTGCCATCTGCTTTATAACAACCTGCCTTTCAGGTTCAAGTTCCACAGTTAATCAATATATCGGGTCATATTTGAGGCAGATGGGAGAGGACATTTGTGAATTATGATATGAATTCCCCAAGTAAGTTCATCATTCCAGCTATTAACCAGAGCATCCACAGTTGCTGATCAGACTGACCAAAACCCTTCAAAGGACATTTGGAATCTGAATAAATCCAACTGCCTTTTGGGCAAACTATTCAACAGATCATGACCCTTATAAAAATTAGATGTTACTACTAATCCAGCCTTATCTACATGGTGGTCTGCCCAGAGTCATGGGGAGACATGAAGGATTGCACATGTATCATATGTTGACTTTGTGAATAGTTTGGATAAAGCATTGTTGTCATGATTGCTATGGATCCTAAGCCATTCCAAACAAAGCAACACTCAAATGGATATGAGGTTGGGGAATTCCAATATCAGTTCTGAAAACAATTCATTGAGATGAGTAAGAAATCCCATTAAACTGTGAGATGGGTAGTGTATTAACAGAATCATCAGGCTATTTCTAGTCACAGAATTGAAATTTCTGCTAACTTTCTCAGCCTAGCTCTACTGAAAAATACCTAGTGGGAAGTAGCTGGTCCCACACATCCTTCCTACTTCACTCTGCCAGGTCTCTATTACCCAAGCCTAGTCAAATCTTTAAAGATATGATGTATTCCATTACATATCCAATTTATTCATGATTACTTAGGCACCACTGAGTTGAGTTTGACTCCCAATTACCAAAGGAACAAGTACTTGGTATTTTGATTTTCCTCCAGTAATAACTTGCAGCTTTTCTAAGAACATTCCAGTAATATCTTCAATCTTCTGCACTTTCTTTATTTATTAATGTTTTTGTTACATTACTTCAGGCTCTTGGAAAATTTCAGAAAGCGTGGACTCAGTTTTCAGCAGCCATTCATTGTGATCCTAGTTGTCACAATGCTTACGATGGACGTGCTATAGTCTGTCTGCAGATGGGGGACATTTTTGCCGCTTTTCAAGATACAAATGCTGCACTAAAGGTAAATAGTTTTGTTTGTAACTGAGCAGGACTGAAGATTTTTCTGCCCTTTTTAATTAATGCCTTTCCTCGGAGTTTGGGTTATTCTCATTCACAAGGCCTTTTCAGATCTTCAGAAATTGCAGGCATGTGAAAGAGAGAAACAGGAATAGGTGCTTCTCCCTGTCCCTAATCCCTTGAGCTGGGTTTTTCAAACTTGGCAACTTTAAGATGTGTGGACTTCAATTCCCAGTCAGCATGGGGAACTCTGGCCTGAATGAAGTTGGCCTCATCCTAATCAGCTTTCTGGGAGACCTTTAAACCTGGCTTCTTCAACCTTGGGGATCCCCTGGTAAGCCTACAAGATGGCTGTATGATGTTAAATGTTCGTTTCTCTCCCACATTATTGTTTTTGTAAATATTTTTTATTTATATGTATTTTAATTGTTAATAAGTTTGTATACACCCAGCGTCATATTTTATGAGATGGGCAGTAACATAAATCTAATAAATAAATAAAGTTTGATGGATATGCTTCCAGTGATGGGAACTTTTAAATATCTTTTTAAAAATGCAGCACCCCCGAAACATGTTTTATACTTCTCTCATGCACTATTACCCCATTATAAAAAAGAGATTCAAGTGTCCCATAAAACCCACATTGTTTTATTTAGTTTCTAACCAATGCCTCCCTCTCCTACTCATGGGAATAAAAATCCAGATTAACTGCTGTTTTAAATTCATTATCATGAACAAAAAATGATATGGGGAAGGGAGAACAATATTCTGCATTAGATCATAGAATATTTGGGGCCATAGCTTAAAACCAACTACCAGTTTAAGATATACTTTATACATATACTGTATTTTATAATGCTTTATGCATTTTAATCTAAAACCTTATTTGTCTGCATTTCAGATAACCACTAATGCAGAATTGCTTACGAATCGAGGTGTGATTAATCAGTTCATGGGATATTTAAACTGTGCTATGCGTGACTATCAGCAGGCTATTGCCAAAGACCCCAACTATGCTTTAGCCTATTTCAATGCAGCAAATGCCTACTTTTTAAACAAGCAGTTCTCACAGGTTTGTATTGGTTCAGTGCTGGCATGGTTGTGTTTTTTTTTTTAACAAAAATTCCTTTGGGGAAGCTTTTTAAAAATTATAACTACAAATTGGTCATTTTTGTCTTTATTAAATATTAGTGAATAATAATAAAAAATTCAAATATACTCTACATATTAAATAGCTGAATTGACAATCTTGAATGTCAATTCACCTATTAATAATCTTCAGCGAATAAATGAAATGAAAATAATACCTTGAAAATATATAATCCTAGACCAAGCAATTCAAGGAAATTTAACTAAGTTACATGAATTTTTTTGGGTCCTCACGGCCTTTGGCCTCTTTTAAAATATATCCAGTACAATAAATTGTTTGCATTAGTTCTTTACTCTTTGTAAAGTGGCAAATGACTCACAGCCTACTTTTTCAACTTTAGTTTACTTTTAGAGAAAAGGGCAGTCAGAGGAAATTAAGATCTATCTCAGTCTATCTCACACCAGGGACTAACAATGTGCCGTATATAGATTACAGGCAGTAAGGTTTTTCAAATGTAGAAAAACTATCAAAGATGTTGACATTTTGAATGCATAATTTGCAGAAATCTCAGAAGGGCAATAATGAATTTAATTTCTGGCAGCTGAGACATTATCTATAATCCTGAGAAGGTTTGACAGGTCTGTTTCTTTTTGCACAATAGTGCAGTGGGTTGTAAAGAGAATGCTAGTTTACTTTTGCACATGTTTCAAACAAGTCATTGCTTGTCAAGTACAATAAATTTAAAATACGCTTTCTTCACATTCTGTCTAAATGACAGTTGTGCCATAAGGCCTGGGGTCTTCAGGGAACTGGTGAACTATTGAGGTAGCTCCACTATTATTAATTTCACCTGATATTTTTTTACTTTTAGTTTTGCTTGTTCTAGTTTTTAAGGTTAATAATAGCAAAAGGCAGCTTTACTTGCAATAGCTTACATCTTGCAATGATATGTTTAAGATTATTAAATAACATATATCTATTTAAGGTCCTTGGGAACGACTCAATAGGTGGATAAAAATGCCAAATCCAGTCTAAACATCTGGCTAACTATGCAAACAACCCTAATAACTGTTTAGTGTTTATTAAGTAACAGGGCTTTTTTAGCCTTGTTGTAAAACCAGCCTGAATCACTTATTGTGAGATGGGTGGCCATATATATTTGATAAATAAATAAAAATATATAAGGTTGTGGATCTACTTAGGTACATTCATATACTACACACTGAGAACTGGATGATTCATTAAAAGCAATGATTACATTATATTAAAATGTCAAATGATATACTAAAATAACTATAGTTTCCAAATGATAAAAAGTATCTGAGGAGCCACCTTTTCCAGATTACAACTTTCCATCCATTTAGATCTGGCAGAGAAGGCATGCTACCTTCTGTTAGGGAACTATACTTGGTGAGTCCCAAGAGGCGGGCCTTCTTTGCTGTGTGGCACCTGCCTTTTGGAAATCCTCCCCTCTGAAATGAGGTAACCATTAGCTCCATCCCTGTTAGTATTCCGGGAGCCCCTCAAGGCCTGTCTATGTCATCATGTCTAGGGTTATCCCAGGAGACTGGTAGCATTCTTAGACATCTGCATCATTGTAGTTAATATTCACTCTCTTCTGTACCTTTTTAATATTTTAATAATGATTATTTTATATTTTTATTAACTGTTTTTACATATGTATTGATCTATTAATTGTTGTATGCCATAAAATAACTTTTTGTGCAGCCATATAAATTTGGTACATAAATAAGAGTATATACAATATTTCAATTTAAAAATGGCAGCTGATCATAGGGCTATGTACTAACATTGAAAAAATATAAGAATGCTCTATTTAATATTTCTGTAGTGAGAGAGAAGATGAGAAAACTAGCCTTTTTAAGGCTACACCCAGATTAGCTTATTGATAATTCTTTTTATCTTGATTCATTTGTCAGTAATGCATACACTTCATTTGCTTAAACATTGATAGTACAGCGCAATACCAATATAATACAAGTTTAGTTCCTCATGCATTTTTGTATGAATGCAGAAAATGAATCTTCAGTGGCGTATTGCACTTCATGGTCTTCTATGCTGTAAGAAGTCTCAACCAGCTGGATGTAGTTTATAGCTCTGTAATTGCCAAGAAAATTCTCAGTGACATCCTTGAATGCTTTCCAGATGATTTTTTTCTGACTCCACTAACAGATCTTCAAACCACTTGTCATTGATGATGTATCTGATATTTGGTCCAACAAAAATGCCTTCCTTAATCTTGACACCATTCTTGGAACCATCTGTCTCAAACAATGAAAACCTTAACTGCCCATGTCAGTACAGAAAACAAGGTTAGATACAGATACAGATTAACAAAATTGGAAGGGACCTTGTACTGTAGGTTATCTAGTCCAACCCCCCGCCCAAGCAAGAGACCCTACACCATTTCTGACAAATGGCAGTTCAATCTTTTCTTGAAAGTCTCAAGTGATGAAGCTCCCACAACTTTCCAAGGCAAGCTGTTCCATTGGTTGATTATTCTCACTGTCAGAAAATTTCTCCTTATTTCCAGGTTAAATCTCTCCTTGTTCAGTTTCCATCCATTATTCCTTGTCTGGCCTTCAGGTGCCTTGGAAAATAGCTTGACCCCTTCATCTCTGTGGCAGCCCCTCAAATATTGGAACACTGCTATCATCTCTCCTCTGATCCTTCTCTTCTTCACTAGACTAGCCATGCCCAAAATAGTGTAGTCATTCTTCATATGCTTTAGTCTCCAGTCCCCTAATCATCCTGGTTCCTCTTCTCTGCACTTTTTCTAAAGTCTCAATATCTTTTTTATAGTATGGTGACCAAAACTGGATGCAGTATTCTAGGTGTGGTCTTACTAAGGCTTTATTACTAAGGCTTTGTCAACCTCTACCCCAATCAGAGAATTCCCAACAGTTCCTGCTAACAGTTTGCTGCTAACAGTAAACAGCCCAACCAAAGAACCTCCAAGATCACTCCCACCAACACTGACAGGGCAAGCCTTTAAAATATAAATTGAGAGCAAACTCCATTCCTTACTAACACTGAAGATGATACCTATTTTGGTTAATGAAACATCTGCAAGAAAACAACCAAGCTCAGAGAGCACCAAGGACCCCTCATTTCAATCCTGAGCTACAACTATTCTCCTTTATTGATAGCTTCCATTAGACAAAAATTGCCCATTCCTGTTCATAGGCCTAATAATTCTTTTGCCAAAATGAAATAATAATACTATGGTTTGTTTACAGCAATGTAGTTTTTCTGCATCTACAATTCAATCACAGTAGAAATTAATGTATTTAAAAACAGAAATCAAAAAATGTGGGGATGCAACAGTCATTTATCTGAATTCTCCAGAAGAAATTTTATTTATTTATTTATTTTATTCAATTTGTATACCGTCCTTCTCCTAGTGGACTCAGGGCAATGCACAGCCAAAACTAAAACACATACCAATACAACATTTAAATTTTTAAAAAGAATTTCATAACTTTGGCCCCAAAATTTAAAACATTCAAACTAAAACCCATTGACAATTTAAAAAACTAAAAAAGCTAGAAAAGGGGTGGGTGGGTTCACGCCAGCTCTGCTTGATGGAAAAGAAAAGTTTTTAGGGCACGGCGAAAGACCCGGAGATCCGATATCCTTCGTATCTCCAGGGGCAAATCGTTCCAGAGGGCAGGAGCTGCCACAGAGAAGGCCCTCCCCCTGGGGGTTGCCAGCCGACATTGCCTGGCTGACAGCACCCTGAGGAGTCCCTCTCTGTGGGAGCGTACTGGTCGGTGGGAGGCTATTGGCGGCAGAAGGCGGTCCCGCAAATATCCAGTGAACAAATGGTGTAATTGGTGGGGAAAAAACAGCTAACAATACTGGTTTGCAGTACTGTTATAGGAGATCTGTTGAAGAGCAAGTTAAGATGACAGCATTCTACTTATATCTTATCGAAGATATTGTTTTAACAAAGCAACACGAATAAATAAATAAATAAAACATTTTATTTAATTTTATAGGCAAATGACTATTATACCAAGGCCATAAAACTTGATCCTGAAAATGAATCTGCTTTCTTGAATCGAGCTATTACAAATACGCTCTTAAGAAATTTTGAAGACGCAAAAACAGATTTTGAGAAGGCAATTTCCTTGTCCCCTTTGTCTGCAGCAATATATTTTAACAAGGCAAATCTCTACAGCATGTTACAGCAATATGAGCAAGCCGAGGAAGACATTTCAAAAGGTACTAATAACTGAAATATATACATCTCCTGACACACTCATCACTTAAAACGGGTACTGCAAGACTCCAGAAGGAGATGGTTTAACATAATGAATCACTTGTTGGGGCTGGTGGGAGTGATGGGTGAATTATGCTAGTATGAGGGTCTCCTTCATCATTTTGACAAATAGATCATCAGTGCTGCTCAAGCTTTCAGCACTAGCCATCTGTTCAGCATGGGAAATTCTTGCATCCTACAACAAATTGCAGTGTGCAGGTCTTTATAGATCAGAGCACATGGGATGATTTATTTTCCTGCCCTACCACTTTTCACTGTTTCTGCTTAGAGATTTACAAAATCCAAACATACTTTTTAGAGCTAATGCTAGGCCTCTTGCTTAGACTTTTAGTCATTGGAATTCACATCTTACAGAACTGATTCAACCAAAGGGAAATATAATTGATTAATGTTTAAAGAATTCCAAAGATGAAATGTGTGCATTTTTGAGTGTGCAGTATTTTGAGTTGAAATGTTAGCATATAATTATTATTTTCTTGAGAAATCAAAATGTTACTTTTTACAGCACTTTCAATTCAACCTTATGATGCCTTGCTGTATAAACTCAGAGCTGATATTCGTGGCAAAATGGGATTGATTAAAGAAGCAATTGCTGATTATAAGAAAGCCATCAGCATCCAAGAGCTAATCAACAGCAATTGAAAAGATGAACGCTCAAAATATTTATAGTATTATTTAAAACTGGACAACATTTTCTGCTGATACAGATACTTGCACTAGTGTTTTGTCCTTATCACAGTTTTAAAATATGTACATTTCTGTACTTATTTGCACAACTTGACAAGAAGCATTAAATAAAGCAAAGTAGTGTTAATGAATGAAGTAGTGTTATTATTTATTACGTTAATACTTATATTCTGTTTTTATACAGACAGCTATGTTTAAATCCCAATATTCTCAAAACAGTCACTATAGAGCTAAAATAGAAATTCACATTTTGCCTTTTGCTTGGACCAACTGCATGTCTGGAAGGTCTGGTTCATGGATCTGTCAGATATCTGACTTTTCCTATGTTTGCAAGGACTGGTCCTTCATAGACACCCTCCAGGTTTTTCTTCCTATTCTGTCTGAATAGATAAGCTTGTCCAGGCACAGTTTAAAATAACATGAATGTGGGGCTCAGCTGTGAGGTGTGCAATAATTTAATAACTTGCTTTTATGAACCTTACCAAGCTATCTAGATAACACACCTTCTTGCAGAAGATTTGACGTCTTTCTTCTTCTCACAAAACCTGGGAACATTAATTCAGCCTTGAAGGGAAGAAGATAGAGATGTAATTTAGATTCACACAATGTTTAAGATGCTTAAGAATCGATTGTTTCTTGTGATAGATTTGAAAACAAGTTCTGAATGTACTGCAATTGCTACAAAACACTTTAGACGTGAGGAAAAATGTTCTCTTCTGGCAGAAAGTACTAATGTAGACGTTTTGGCAGCAGAAGAAATTTTTGACCCCAAAACCAAAGATATTACAAATTGTAGAATGGATTGTAGTGATTCTTTTTTATATTGCCTTGGTGAGTCTGCACATCAAATATTACATTCAGTTCTGGATACAACATTTTTAGGATGGACATTTACAAATGAGAAATAATTAGAGGATATAATTAGAGATGTGATAGCTGTCTTCAAGTATCTGATGGGTTGCCACATAGTAGGTAGAACAGAATTGTTGCAGAAGATAGAACAAGAACCAATGAGTTTAAATTACAGGTAAATAGCTTTTGGTTGGACACCAGAATAATATTCCTAATGCCAAAAGCTGTTCAGTAATGAGACAGATTGTCACAAGAAGCAGTAGACAGCAGTAGACTGTCTCTGTAACTGGAGTTGTTTAAATAGAGGACAAGTGTCATCCATTGGTAATGCTGTAGGTTCTTTCACTAGTCAGAAAGTTAGACCAGAAGATCTCCCATTCTTACATTCTGATTCTAGGCATTCTAGTTGTTATTGCTGTAACAGTGCTACAGTGTACATTGCTACATTACAGTGCTGTAATGTTTCTACAGTGAAGGGAACATAGAAAGCATATTCATTCAGCATGTCATCTCAAGGATGCTTTTTCAAAAGGCAATGGGACTGTTTTTTCCTTGAGGAGGAGGAAGAAGACTTTTTGCTTTTCATCCAAGAAGCTTTATCAGTTGTGATGGTGGGGGGATGGAAGAATAGGGATCAGCAGTTGTGACTGGATGATGGAGGGGGAAATGGAAGGATAGGTTCTGAGAGGATGGGGGGAAGGATTGTATTTGAGAGTTTTTGAGGCCAAAACATGGGGTTTATCTGTGCCCCATGTTTTATTATTATTTTATTATTATGTTTTATTATTATGCCATGTTTTATTTTCAATATTGTTAATCAACATAATATAAAACCATAAAACATGTTTTGCAAATGATTGTGGTTTACTGAAGCATTTCATCAAGCAAATAGAAAATAACCATATAGTTTAGTGTGGTAAATGGAATCAAGCTATAAATATATCTGGTATGCAAAAAATTGTAGTATTTTGTTCTGCAGTGGAAAATGTAGGTTAAAATAATTTAAAATAATAACTTGTGGGTTTTTATTCGTTTTGATCAATTAAAATAAATTCAGCTTTAATACTTTGTCATTTATTGTGAAGTGATATCATGGAGCACTTTCATAGGCCTTAAGAAAACTATGGGAGAATTTTGCCTCTTATTATATCTTGAATGTTATTAATATGTTGCCATGACTCTTGTACAACTACATTATTTATGTATTAAATGAACAAGCAATCAATTTTGAAATAGTCTGCAATGTATCCATTCCGAGCAGGCATTATTGGGCAAATTGGTTTAAAAATAATAGAAAAAAGCAAAAATAATGCCACAGTTCTCAGTGGTATGTGGGAATAAGACATGTTAATGGGGTCCCTTCAGGTACAGAGTTATCTTGGAAGTTTGTAGTTTATAAAGAATTGATGACTAGTCATTCTTACTTGGGATGTGCAAAACATTTCAACCTCAAAGCTTTCTGAGAGAAAAATAGCCATAGTGAAAACAAAACACTGAGAATTTTGTTGCAGTCATGTGGGGAAAATCTTGGTGTTTCAAGAAGCACTGTCTTGAGTCTTCCAATTGGTCTGAGCACTTCAATAAGTCAGATATTTTGTAACAAAATCCAAATCGCCGCCATATTTGATAACAGTATGGACCACCATCTCATCAATTCTACAAGCATGGGATGCAAAACAAGGCATCGGCCACTGCTCCTGGGATAACCTTGTTTTCTTTGACCAGAACCCAAAATATTTTCAGTTTTTGCTTCAACAGAATAAATAACATTTTAGCAATTTCATGTTTTGTTCTGAGGAATCACACAAACGTCTCTCCCTTAAATGTTGCCACCTGACTTTGGAGGCATACCTCCCCAGTCCTAAAAGGGATCCTTACAGTTTTAGCCTTCCAAAGGACCATGAAGATCTTACTCTTCCATCAAGCATTGTACTAAAGTGTGTGTATGTGTGCGGGTGGGTGGATCTGCGAGGCAGTTTTGTCTAGAGCCTGGCTGGGGTAGGGTGGTGAGAAGAGCATTTTTGTTTTTATCCATGTTTTTCTGTTGTGAACTGCCTAGAATTATTATATGAGATAGACAGCCGTATAAGTCCTGGAAGTAAAATAAAATAAAATAAATGCTAAGGAACAGATTATTTAGGAAACATCCTCAGATATGGCATTACCTTCAGTTTTGTGCAAGCCACCTTGTTCTTCATATATATCTTATTTTAGTAATGATTTGAAGGAAGATTTTATTGTTGAGGAATCCAATGTATGAAATTACCTACCTCTGAAATCTGGAAGGCTTTAAATATACAGCATGTCTATTGACAACTGGTCAACATTGGTCCTGAATTCTCTGACTAATCATACTAGGTCCTCAAATACCATAATGGGAGTAAATACTGTAGCTTATCTGGGGGAAAAAAAAAACCTTAGGCTTCAAACTTGCTTTTGCATATTGAAGAAATATGTGTAAATACTATACATGTAGTCCTCGACCTACAACTATTCATTTAGAGATTGTTCAAAATCACTGAAAAAAGTGATGTATGACCCTTTTTCCGACTTATGACCATTACAGCTTGGTAACTGGCATGTATTTATGACAGTTGAACTGTCCTGGGGTCATGTGATCACCATGGTAACCTTCCTACCCGGCTTCTGACAAGCAAAGTTAATAGGGAAGTCATATTCATTTAACGATTGCATGATGCATTTAACAACTGCAATGATTCATTTAAGAACTGGCAAAAAAGATCATAAAATGGGGCAAAACTCACTTAACAACTGCCTTGCTTAGCAACTGAAATTTTGGGCTCAATTGTCACAAGTCAAGGACTATCTGTAATACTAAATTTTATCTTCACCTACTTTATTCATTTTTTTGCTTGCTTTATTCAGAAAGGAGTAGGTAGGAGTGTATTTATGCAGTTCATCATGCTACTGGTTCCAGTTAATCACCAGTAGATGGCAATGTAGAATTTCTGTTTCTGTATAAATGAAGGATGTGGAATGTATTTTGCTTGTAGTTTACATATCTGTTGCTAATATATTCACTCAGAAATATCTGTACTGCATACCTTACATAATAAAAAGACTTTTTTTGTTTTGCTATTTCTTCCTTCCTTTTTAATATGCATTACAAAACAAAGGATATATAAGCACCTTGGCACTAATATAGTCTAGAGGGATTTATAGTCTAGATGGATTCCAAAAAGTGAATGATGGTTATATCAACAACTCTATTTTCTGCTAGCTAAGGTAATTGACCATAAATCCAAGCAGTCTTGGTTGTGTGAATATATAACTGCAAAATGACTACTGTGGTGGATCTTTCATAAATAAGAACACATTAATGCAATAGGAGGCATACAGAAGTGAAGCAGCTAGAATCTAAGGAAGGGGGGAACTAAACGCTAACTGAATTTTGTCTGCCCCACACTATCGAGGATAAAGTTAGAAAAGGAAAAGCAGTGGCCTTTCTCCATAGATTTATTGAGATTTATTTATTAAGCATTAATTTAGAAAATTATCAGAAATTCACCATGTATAGTAGAATTAAGTGGTGGGCTTCTGAAAGAACTGTTAAGCTCAGAATGAACATGATACATCAGAAAGTATCAAAGAAATTAAATAATGTTCCATTCTTGAAACAGAGGTTGTTAACTGTCATATCAAAAATGGAAAAGACATTTTAAAAATCTTAGGGTAACTCAACACTGTTCTATATGGTCCTCATTAATGTCTGAATTCCGAAAAGGCAGCAATATGACTATCAGCATATTTCTTCATGTTTATGAAGTGCTCTGTTCTATCTTTTAAAAAATATTGTCTTAATTAAAAAAAACCCCGAGAATTTTAGAATTACCAAACTTTTTTTGCAGCATCTAGTAGATATCTGGATTGTTGTAGTTTAGCTAGGCAGCTGAAGAGAAACTAACATGCCACATAGTAAGTATTCCCTCAAGTATAACTTGTATTTCCAACTAAGTCTTTGCCTCCTTAATATTTCACATGTCTCTATTGGCCTCAAATTTGAAACTCATTGAAATAGCTAGGCCAGACTAAAGACTGATAAAAAGCAATTAGATTTGAAAGATATTTCTCTTTAAATAAATTGATTAAAAGTTCAAACTAAGAATATATACCAAATTTGTCTTTGAACATTTGAAAAATATATATGCTTTTCTTTCCATATTATTAAAAATCTTAGACAAGAGAGAAAAAGAAATATGGCTGCAAAGTAAACGCATAAGAAATGACAGGTAAAAATGTAAGCTGAAGTATTTT